TGAAGAAATTACACTCTTTACAGTGTTACAAAGTGAGTGTACAGCTTGTATAACAGCGTAAATTCGCTGTCCCCTCAAAATAACACATCACATAGCCATTAATGTCTAAACCGCCTGCAAGTGAGTACACCCCTAACTGAAAATGTCCAAATTGGGCCCAAAGTGTCACTATTTTGTGTGGTCACCATTGTTTTCCAGCACTGTCTTAACCCTCTTGGGCATGGAGTTCACCAGAGCTTCACAGGTTGACACTGGAGTCCTCTTCCACTCCTCCATGACAACATCACAGAGCTGGTGGATTTCAGAGACCTTGTGCTCTTCCACCTTCCGTTTGAGGATGTCCCACAGATGCTCAATAGGATTTAGGTCTGGAGACATTCTTGGCCAGTCCATCACCTTTACCCTCAGCTTGGAAGTGTGTTTGGGGTCGTTACCATGTTGGAATACTGACCTGCAGCCCAGTCTCCAAATGGAGGAGATCATGCTCTGCTCTAGTGTGTGACAGTGTATGTTGGCATTCATGGTTCACTCATGAACTGAAGCTCCCCAGTGTGTGCAGCACTCATGCAGCCCCAGAACATGAGAGTCCCACCACCATGCTTGACCGTAGGCAAGACACACTTGTCTTTGTACTCCTCACCTGGTAGCCACCACACGCTTGACACCATCTGAACCAAATAAGTTGATCTTGGTCTCATCAGACCACATGACATGGTTCCAGTAATCCTTGAAGTAATGCTTGTCTTCAAGCAGGCTTTCTTGTGCATCATCTTTAGAAGAGGCTTTCTTCTGGGACAACAGCCATGCGGACCAGTTTCATGCAGTGTGCGGCGTATGGTCTGAGCACTGACAGGCTGACCCCCCCACCCCTTCAACCTCTGCAGCAATGCTGGCAGCACTCATACATCTATTTCACAAAGACAACCTCTGGATATGACGCTGAGCACGTGCACTCAACTTCTTTGGTCGACCATGGTGAGGCCTGTTCTGAGTGGAACCTGTCCTGTTGATCCGCTGTATGGTCTTGGCCACCGTGCTGCAGATGTATGTAGATCTATGTAGAGCAACAATTCTTTTTTTCAGATCCTCATGAAGTTCTGAACATCCAGTGACCAGTATGAGGGAGTGTGAGAGTGATAACACCAAATTTAACACACCTGCTCCCCATTCACACCTGAGACCTTGTTACACTAACAAGTCACATGACACCGGGGAGGAAAAATGGCTAATTGGGCCCAATTTGGACATTTTTACTTAGGGTTGTACTCACTTTTGTTGCCAGCGGTTTCGACATTAATGGCTGTGTGATGTGTTATTTTGAGGGGACAGCAAATTTACAATGTTATACAAGCTGTACACACAATACTTGGGGTTTTCTCACTTTTGTCACCTAACTGTGGAAACAGTTACAGCTGCACATGTACATGTTGTTGATGCAATCTATACCTGTAAACTGATTCAGTATGCTCCCAGCTACAGCCATGTATTCTATGAAAGGAGCATTGAGGAAGACCTTAGAGTGTGGCCTGTTCACTTCTAGGTAGCAGCAGCTACTGAATGGTAAAAAAAAAAAAATCCGGTACTTGAAATAAATGCATTTTTTTCACTGTTTGACCAGGTCAAAACTAGTTTACAGGCACCACCGGTCACCAGACCCCTGACAAGATACCACAGGTTAATATTAAATAAAATGAGTTAAGTGTCTCATTTCATCATTTGCCTCTAATTAACTACCTTTGCCTTCTGTGGATTGTTAACTGTCAGGTTCCACTTCAACCAATGATTACACATTAGGCATTTTAGATGACCCTCAGCTCTGGTGTTATTAATTCACTAAAGGATTTGTTTATTTTCACAATGCAGACATTCTTTATATTTATTTGACAAGCGTTAAACTGAAAGACTGGCAGTATGTGAGCAACTAAACATGAACATGAATTTAATGTGCCTCCTCAGGGTATAAACGATATGATTAATCACCTTTATAAATGATTAATCAAAATTATTCAGTATTTTGAATGTGTATCGGAACATGCAGCATGTTTCAGTTCAAGAGGTACAGGCAGGTTCAGTTTTATGCTGAATAGAGGCACTAATTTATACACCATGAAAACCAATTTGCACTACTTCCGAGGAGAGTGGTGTTATTCAATCAGGACAATCAGAACACTTGACAGGAAAAGATTAACAAAAGACAAATAACAGGAAAATATAGCCTCACTAGACTGGGGGTTGTAAGTGACAAATGTTAATGTGATAAAATAATTAAAATGACACTCCAGAGAGAAGCAGGATTGATCCAAGCAATGGTCTGTTTGCCCTCATTCAGAAGAAGATCAACTGATCAATTCTAACAGAAAGCTGATCACACTGCCTGCTGAACCACTGAACAGTACACTAGGGTGTTGTGGGAGATATCATGTCTGCACTTTTAGGGCTCCACTTCAAGAAAAAGAGAGTCGTGAAGTGATGAAGTCGGCTGGCAACACAGTGTTTCCCTCCAGCAGCCTGTCATCTATAACACAAACACTGATTATTCAAACTGCCTCTTCCTTTACTGTCAAACTCCCATGACTTGAGAAAACAGGATGTTATGCTACTTCTGATGGATTAGTTTGTCTAAATACACCACACCGTGCACTGCAGGCCATGACGGGTATTCATTTCTCAGGAAGATAAAATTATACATAACATTTGACAAAGTCCAAGGTCACATAAACACAAGGGCAGAGACAGACAGACATAGCGACAGATGGATGATACAAGCAAATCATGTATCTAAAACCTCATCAGCAACTTGTCAGACAAACACTTCCTTTCTATTCACTGCAGCAAATGTAGTCTCAATTTTCTCATCTTTGATTAATTCCTCCCTCCTTGAGGTAATGATCGCAGCCTTCCCAAACCTGTGGGATTGAACTGGGGGGTGGATTTATTTTCCTACACTTGAATTTGTATCATTATTTCGTCTAGGACCACTTAGTAATTAGCAAAACCTATTTCAAGTCTGCCTCCACGTGGCCCTTAGACTGAAACCTGTCACCCTGAACAACAATCTAAAGATGAAAATTTGAATCTTCTTGAGTGTGATGATATGACTCAGTGGCCTGCCTTATCCTGTTGCATTGACACAATCCAAAGTGAGGAGAGATTAGCGCTCTGTCGTGGTCTTTGTACACTGCTAATTTGGTCATGTTTTGTAGGGTAACTGAGCATGCAACAAGCCAAGGTGACTGGAGTAATCCCTCCAGAGTCTCCTAGACACAGAGGAGTCTTACATTCACGACAAAAAGTAGCATCTCATTTAAATAAATTACTGTTAGTATCAAATAGCATGCTTTTATATCAACAAAACTGCAGGCTGTTGTGTTTAAAGTAACATAAAAGCTTCACCACCATGCCTGTATATCTGTTTCATTGATCTGCATTATTATTGAAGACAGAAGAAGTCTTTCCATTATGCATTTCTGTCCCCAGTTCCTCTGGGTGGCACACAAGCATAACCTCTGCCAAAAAGCTTTTCAGTTGTCGATAGGCGATAGTCGCGTGGTTTTTTTTTTACCAACACCTGATTGAAAATGTAAATTACGCTGGATTTCTTACCTATAAAGAGAGAACTCCTTTCCATTTCGTTCACCCTTCCACTGAAAATGAAAATGTGGCAGCAGACACGACCACGTCTGCCGTACTAACACCCCCTGCCAGTACTGAGTGTGTGTGAGAGAGAGAGAGAGAGAGAGAGAGAGAGAGAGAGAGAGAGCCCTGCCTGGTTATTAGCCAGGAGGAATCGGGGGAATTGGGGCAATTTCCAGTTACAACACCTTTTATTGACAAAGACCCCAAAATACAATCAAAGCTGCTATTATGTGACATGTTCGAAATTGTAATGAAATTTCACGTAACTATTTGTTTAGTTCAACGTGAATACCAAACTCGAGACTGCTCATAAACAGCACTACCAGCCTACGCGGTAACCTACTTGTTGCCTTCTGCATGGTCAAACAAGCAGCCATAACCTGGAAACCTCGATCTCTGGCTCCAGTCATGACAGGAGGCCATGCAGTTTATATATTTATGACTCACCTGTTCACATTGAGCACACATATTATCTTCAAACTATTTCGCCCATGTACACACTCCATTTGTTGCCATAGGGACCAATAAAATCCTTAGTCGATCTGTCGAATGGAAAAGAATGAAGCCAGATCCTGAGATGAAAATCACTCAAATGAACTGGACTCGTTTCCTCGGTTAACAGACTAGGGTAGGCTATTTATTTATTAATTAATTTTTTGAACAGTTCAAGGTGATGCAGCGCAGCTTGGCAGTGTCTCTATGTGTGATACACACTCAGGCCGCTGGGTGACAGTAAACACATAGAAATTGTGTTGCTGAAACAATCTCTGTCTGCCCTCACCGTCGACAGCCTTTGGGTTTGACTAATCAAAGATTTTTTTTTCAGTTCAGCCCTCCTTTAATGTTTTAAATACGAAACTTAACAATTTATGCAAACAATTCTTACTTGACAATGTGAGACCAGTTAAACTTGCTAATGGATGTAGTAGCCTACATTCAAACTTTATTTAATGCAGCCTAATGAATTTAGTTTTAATTCTGTTATAATGAATTAATTCTTATAGCCTATAGTTTTATTTTTTTGAATTTGTATATTTTCTTATGTAGTAATTAATTGTCAATTGCCTAATTATTTATCACCCCATGGCATCTCTATGTCATTTTGGAAGATGAATTTGCTGAACACATCTCTCATACCTTAAAAATAAAAGTGTAGTCCTAACGCAAGTCTATCCAATAAGTGATATGGGACACTATAACAAATTTCCTGAAGCAGGACATTGATCTACAGTACTTTTCACTGCATATATATATAAACTATTTCACACAACATTATTGTATAATTGCATTTTATCGGGCTAAATTGATGCGCCAGCGTTTGATCTAGTCCAACTCTCGCGATATTTCGGTCTCAGTTACCTACCCGTGTCTTGGATATTCCAGTTTCACCGTTGAGAAGCATCAACATAGTAACCCGGGAAAGGCAACATCAGAGGCGGGTTGCGACATTTCTTTCTGGGAATCTCACAGCTGACCTGGATATCTGGTTGCCCGGACAAACCTTGAGAGTAAAACAATGGGTGCATGCCCAGAAAGTTGCTAGCTTTAGTTGGCATAACTGCTAGCTAACATTGGTTCGCTAACGTTAGCTGGCTGCTAGCGTTAGCAAACAGACTGCTGAACGAAACTGAAGAAGTCCGGAGAAGTTAGGATTTTCCCATCATGAGCACGTCAGCATGACTGTGGACATATAAACACGTCGGATCGTTTCCCTAAAGGTATATGTTAAGTCTCTTCAAAGAGGTGTATAGCTAAGTTGATTCATGACTTTCCTGTCAGCTAACATTAACTCTCTCGAGTTGGCGGCTCCGGCTATTCCCTGGACCGAAGACATTTCGAAATAAGTCATCTTGAAGTCAAATGTTACAAATAGTTGGAGACATAATTTGTGGATGTACAGTGATTGTACTAGAAAGCCAATCATGGTGTCTAAAAGTTTGTGTTGTCTTTATAATAAGTTTTTAAACTCCTAGTAATAACCTGGCTGTTTGTTCACACACGAAAGTAACGTTAGATTAACCATGGACTGTGGCCAGTAATTCCTGGACAGGGTGTTTCAGTCGTAGCCTTCACACAGTCATACCTCGACTGATGCGTTTGAGTTAGATGGCCATTACTTGCTTTTCATTCACTATTGGTATAGTTTTTTTATATTGAAAATAAACAACGCTGTCGTTAACATCAACGACCGACAATGTTTGAATAAGTTAGCCCTTGTAACGTTACAGGTCCTGATGTTCAGGATCAGTGTGAACACGCCTATTTCATGGTCTCGCTGCTTTACAAAACAATGTTAAAAATACGAAGTCGCCGAATAGAAGGTAAACTTCCCAGCGACTTATCCGGGGACAAAAGTGCGATACCAGTGGGCTGTAACGTAATGAAATTACGACTTACTACGTTGGAGTGAATGTGACTAACGTTCAAGTCAATACAACCCTCTTCTTCTAAAAGAGACCTTATTATTTCTTCCTCGCCCAACATGTTGTTACTGCGAAGTAGACTTTTGCACAGTGGTGGCGTTAGTGGTCGGAAGCGATATAGCAACAGCCTATGGTCCTGACGTGAATGTTTTTGTTATCTAGCGCCCGCCCATAGGTGGCAGCAAATGGCACCTACTGCTGACCAACGCTGTAGTCGATGAGCGAAAAAGAAATTATGCGCCATCTTGGATTTTACATGATTGTCTTTGCTATAATGGAAATAATCCGCACTCCGCCACCGAAATTGTGTTTTTCCTCACATAACGCTCCCCCGACATCATCTTGTTTTATCCTGATAGGTCAAAGATGGGTTCACCAACCACTCGACGAGATTTCCAGTTCAATATAGTTTCGTTAACGAACTTTAGGAGTTCTAAATGCCTGAATTGGGTGGGTTCAGTGTGACAGCGATACATGACCGCTGTCTCGTAACGTTACCATAATCCCGGATCAAGCTTGCCGTTTGTACACTCTTATTATTATTAATAAGTTATTGACTGACTTATGTTATTCACTTAAGTTATTAACTTAAGGTTAAAAACCTAGACACGTTAGTTCTTTATATATATATTTGTTAACGTTACAAACAGTTTAACACTTTTAGCTGCTCTTGGCTCTCCTACCATACATTTTGCATTCAGCCCCATATAGATTCAGATAACAGGAAAGACACAGACTTCCTACTTTCTGTAGTCTTGTTTAGTGAATCTCATTTACACAGACTGCACTGTTAATTATATGGCAATGCTGTAAGGCTGTTACTAAGAAATACTGTTGAAGCACAGATGAATTTAGTCTTCTTCCTGTTTGCTGTCATCTTGACGTGATCGCCTCAGGGCGGTGTCAGGTGGTTGTTATGAGTAAAAGGCATGACTTCTAAAGGATTCCTTATGACTCTAGGAGTGTTAAAAAGACGGGGAAAAACACCCATAATGAGCAAACTAACTAGGCTAGACTGGCCTATAAATCCATGGTACAATAAACTGAAGTTGCCACTGTCTGACGAAGAGGGTTCCCTTGTCAGAACAAAGTTTTGGTGTTTTCTTTATGAGTAGTACCATGGTAGGAAGAGGCACCTGTACTCTGTACCTGTAGCTTTACAGGTGTTTTAAATAAACATCACATGGCTGACATGTGACAAACTTCAGTTCCGCTTACCTTCCCTCACAGAAGAATGTGTTGTTGTAGATCCTGTTTTAAATGACACAGTGCCTTTAGTCTGATGTCAACAAGCTGTCAGAATAGTTACATGTGTTGTACTAGGAATCAACAAGGCTATACACATAGAAGATAATTTATAATTTATTCACATGCTTGGCATGGATTGCAACTTGAGACTGTTGTCCCTTGGGCTTGTTTCCTAGTCCTTTTCTTGTTTTGAAAGAGCTTGATGTGTTTTGTTTATGTATGTAATTCCTAGTTTTGGTTTCAGTTAACATTGTGGTTTAATCTGCCTGTTTCCTGAGATGTTACTGGCCTTTATATCTGTTTTGTGTATATGTTATACAGTAGAGTATACTTTGGATGACATTTTGTGTTTATCTCATTTATGTCCTTATTTGCCTGTCTAATCTTTGCTGCAGGTGAATGAGAGAGATGAGGAGGAGCAGCAGGAGGACTGAGGTGTCTTTTAAAAGCTCTGCTCAGCAGCTCTCAGATCACAATGCAGGCACAGGTGTGTTTAAAAAAACAGTTAAAAGATCTAGATGTTATACGGATTGTTTACAAGAGCCTCTGTATGACCTTTTGTAATAATTTTTATTCTCTTTCTCTTGTCAGAGCTGACAACTGCATGGAAAAGTTTGGCTCAGTCCAAAGCTGCTGTATGACTTTGTTTTTTTTTCAGCCTCAGATAAATTTGCCATTTTGTAAAAATGAATGAAATACAGTCTACAATATCTGATGATGGGGATGACTCTCTTTCATCTTCACATAACTCAAACAGTCTGACATGTGTATTCTTCCTCTGTAGTTGCGGCATATAGAAAACCGTCTAGAGGCAGTTCCAGGGACGGGGGTTTTCCTGGACTCTATCATGGACCCCCCTAAGAAGAAATCTTCTAGGACTGTCCGCTGCAGGGGTGAGTTATTGAAAAGAATATAATAAAAATCTCTTAATGATTAGTTAAGTTCTACACTTAAACCTTGACTATTTTAACATTGCTCTATCTATCATAGATGAACAACAAGCTGATGACAGTGGAGGGTCTTCAAAGCGCAGGGGGCGTAGTCAGCAGAGTCCAGAAAAGAGCAACTCACGCAGCCCACTGAGAAATACCACCCAGGACAGCAATGTACGCAGGAACAACAGCGTTGAGTTCAGGGAACCGCTGGCCTCCTACAGGTACAAATACTGCACTAAACCGGATTCATGAAACATCCATAGCCACTTCTCTCTAAGGTGCATTGCTGTTAAAAATAAAATAAAACTATACCTAAAAGCTTACAGCTTTAAATATGAAGAATATGATGGTGTTTATTCCCCCCTGGGCTTTAATATTTTCATTGTTATTATAGCGCCACCTCATTGTTCTAATTTGATACATCAGGAGAGCTCTTTTACCGAAATAACGGTCAGTCCCCAACACTCATTCATTCAGAGACCATATGTTCTTCAGCTGACTAGCTCTCAGACACTCCAGTGTTTGTATGATAATGCAGAAACATTCTGCTTCTAGCATTGTCACTCAGTGTAACACTCAAAGTGAGGAACTATACAAGCTCCCCCTCAGCTTTACAGAGCTTTATAGTTCATTCTTTAGCTGTGACAACTGCTGCTGTTTTGGTGCAATCTCCCCGCTGTCTTAGTATTGCTTTCAGTCTCAGCAGGCAGATTTTTTCAGTGAAAAAACTCTAAAACCCACCATACACTAAAAAGTCTTAAATTCGCTTAAGTGTGTGTTCTATGTCTTAAATAATTTTAAACAGGTCTTAATTTTCCAAAGTCCATGTAACGCTACCTCTAATGCTCTTTGAAATGCTCCCGGAGCGCTTTAGAAGGTTTTTTTCCTCCCGTGGTGTTGTAGTTTTTCTTTCGCTTGTTCAAATATAATTTGCTGTGTTACGACTACAAAGACCAACATGCAGCTGTCTTGTTATTGCCGTGAGTCTCTTTCGGATTGATTGTAAAGTTACCACAGATATAAAACGGATTATATATATATATATATATATATATATATATATATATATATATATTTTAAACAGATTTATAAGTACAACCTAAGCGACTCACCCTTGCCTGAAAGAAACGGAGCTTAGGGCTACGTTAAACCCAGTTGCTAGCAATATATTTGAAGCCTACTGTCGCTGCTAAAATTTCACATGTCCATTAATGATTTTCAGTAAACTATGGTAACACTCAATGCATGGCTGTCTCCCTCTCTTCATTCTATAAAGGACGAGTGAATGTGAGAGAGAGAGCAGCAGACCGTGACGGTGAAAGTTAGCGGTGGATAAGATCAGCATTAAGTTGTGAGGTTACAGCTCTGTCCTGTACTATACATCCTGATAGTTAAATTCTAAAGAAAGGACAGTGTTTACTACGTAGGAGCTGAAATTAGTAATGTTAAAGCAAATTAGGGATGCAAACTAGTCCTTTTAAGCTAATGAGGATATTTTTATTTTTACAAATGAAAATGCTTGTAATTATACAGAATGTTATCTGTTTTTTGTTAATTTCTACAAATTTATAAAGCAGTAAATTAAGACACAAAAGGCAAACATGAATAATCCTAGCTGTAATGAGGTCATATTAACAGTGTTTTCCTGCAATTATAAAGTTTAGGTGGTGAGGCTCAAAACAGCTTGGTGCTGTGCCATGAATGTAAAATCATTGTGGATCAAAACTAACCACACAAATTTTCCCAGATCTAATGGTTATAGTTCAAACCCAGTAGACTTCTTTAGCAAGTTTAGCTTTTGGGGTGTAGTTTATTCAAAATCTGCTCTAGATTTTAAAACTTATTATTCACAGATGTGCTTATGACAATGTTCCATTTCTTTATTGGAAAACAAACATTTTCTTGGGGGATGAACCCCCAACCCCCCCACACAAAAATACCATCTTAATTTTTTATATTGTACCGCCCTGTGAAAGCATGTTTTAATCCCCATGGACATTGTTTTTAGCATTATTTGTAAATGTGCCTGCTTTGCACCTGCCTTAACTTCTCCCTGCACTCACTCACACACAGAACTCGTCATTTTTGGGATTTTTCCACTTGTGATCCTTTTTCAAGGCAGCAGGTGCGCCCCATGCCACCGTGTTAATTACGTAGCTTATCAATGTCATTGTTTCATTGTTGACATCGTCCAATACCAATTTTGGAGACCAACCATAACTTGAATACATTTATTTACTCTGCAAGTAATGTTGTGACTGCATTTCCTTTGTACATTTCTTTTTTGTTGTCGTGACATAGGTCTTAAATTTCATTCATTGTGGTCTTCAAAAGGTCATAAAAGTCTTAAATTTGACTAGGTGAAACCTGCAGAAACCCTGTCAGCAGCAAACAGAAGACAGACATACGTAGTGGAGCATTTAACAGCTAAAGAGCCAGATATTTCCCTCAGGTTCTGGTAGAGACCAAGGCAGAGTGAATATTGCACCACCTTTTGCCTGATAAGTCATTGTCCTAAGATCAAACACTCTGCGGGTAGTAGAATGTGTCTGACTTGACGGCAGTGTTTTTAAACTCCACCCCTGCACACGCCAGAAGCTCACGTTTGACTTTCAAGTCAGAGAAAGTCAGCTGCAGTCATCTCAAACGCACCTAACGTTGTGTTCATAGCTTGTTTCCACTGCCCCCAAGTGGCCAAAGAAAAATCAGTTATTGCAGGTTTCAGAAAAGTCTTGGAAATGAAATGTCGATGTTTTTGCTTATGTCTTGCAATTAGCAAATTTAGATAACGTTTTGATGTTATTATACATAGAGATCCACCAGTAGTCTTATTCTGTAATGAAGGCAGTCAGTGAAGGGATTGTAAGATTTTAATTACCAAATTTTTAGCTTATTGTAAATAATTTTGAATAGCTTTCATCATTCAGGTTGACCGCGGGGTCTTAAAAAGTCCTAAAAGGTAATAAATTCATTTTGCGAAAATTAAGGCCATTAAAAAGAAAGAAAAAGCCTTAATCGGCATTTAACAAGGTATTAAATTTTGTAGATAATTTTGTCAATGTAAAAATCCTTTTTGCCCAAATAGTTTGTGTGCTAAAAGTGTGGGTGAATGTATTTATTGATATTGCACAGCCAAAATTACTAGATCGGCAGGGCGTAGCGACTGTGTGATTCTGCTGTGTAACGTTAGGCGCAGGGATCTACAGTGCGAGAATTTCACTCTCATATGCCCCTAAAAATAGATCTGTGCGAACCGACCGTAATCTTCCACCACCGCCAGGTCCCCCAACGCCAGTCGTTCAAAACATAGTCGGACTGAGCTGTGGCCGCTCGAACAACCCCGTTACTTAAAAACAAGGTCGAGATGCGCCGGCAGCAGCTGAATCAGTAAGACCAAAGACAACATGGAAAACAGAAGCAGCGTGTGGGTTTAGCTAATGTTATCTGGCTATTTAGCTAAGTCGGTACCTTTTATTGAAACATGTTCAACTATTCATAAAGCCGATGTGCCACTTTTTGGGAACAGATCAATCACAGCCTGAATGGAGTGGGACACAAGTTTGATGTGCTAAAGCAAACGTTCCAAATGTTCAACTCATCATTCTGCATAAATAGTTATGATTATTGATGAGTTTGTAGCCTACTTAAAATTAAAGACACAAGCTACCACGTGGAACATTTTTCTTGCACAAAGTTAATTAATAAAAACAAGCCCAAAATGAAACAGCTGTAACTGGAATTAATATTACATATAACAGTGATAAGCTATATACTGTAAGCTACTATTACATGAAATTATAGTGAATATAGTAACATCATATAAATAATATATCAAATCAACAGTTTACTATTATATTAACAATATACTTTTAATATAATGGTATTATATAATACTAATATACTCATTTATACTAGCTCCTCCACCAGGTTGTGGATGGATCCTCTGCAGTGGACAGATGTAGATTTAACCAGAGTCACGATGCCAGTGTGGCAGTATGTGCTCCTTCTAGCCGCCTCCTGCTGAGTGCAACATGTTCACCTTTTTCCATTTTTAAATCTGTTTTACTAAAGTTATTGTTATAAAAATTTACACACAACCCTTTTAAAAGTGTGTTTCGAACTTAACCAGTTTCAAATCAAAGTGGCGCAGCAGTCTTAAAATATGTAGAAAAGGTCTTAAAAGGTATTGAATTTTACTTCAGGATTCCTGTGTATATACCCTGTCGTTGAACTAAAATGATGTCTTGAGTTTGACCACCCATAAATGTCTTCTTCTGTACACTTAGTGAGTGGTGAATTAAGAGTAAATCTTGATCCCCTTCCTGATCCCATGTAATCTGGTTTGTCTTCAGAGAGGCCACCCCTCCACCACATCCCTCCTCTCAGCTGGAGGCCTACAGTCTGCAGTCAGTGCCAGGGTCTTCGTACCCATCCTCTCCTCCTCCTCCTCCTCCTCCTCCTCCTCCCTCGAATCCTCTGCTCAGCCAGCTGGTCTACCAGAGAGACACAAAGGGAGAAACAGACGGACAGGGACCTGGACAGCACACACTCCTCAGCTCTGGAGAGCACAGAGGTCCGCTACCTCAATGACCAGTCAGCCCTAGTCACCCTGAGGACTGTTGGAAACCAGTCACATCTCACAAGCGTAAGGGTCCCAGCAAGGGAGGCTGCTGCGGAGGAAAGCACTCCCAAAGCACAACCTGGCATGGATAACCAAGAGTCAAGCCCATGTCTAGCTCCAGCCCTGGACTCCATACGCCGAGGGGAGAGCACTCCCTCCACCAGCCCTGGCTCAGCTTCCCAGCGGCTGGAGAACCTAAGGAGACATCAGCCCGATGATAAGCTGGAGAAGCTCAAAGAGCGCATTCGCAGGCAGAGACAACATCTGGAGGAGGCTGCAGAGAGAGAGAAGCTGCTGGGTTATCTGGAACAGCCCATTGTGGCAGCTGTGGGAAGTAACAATGCTGGAACAAGCAACATGCCCACAGCCAAAATACGGAAAGTAGCAGCTGCACCACCTGCACCTATATACAAAGGTACCGTCGGTGTAGGATGTATCCCAAACTTTAACTTTCTTGTTTGTTAATTAAAGAGTTAATGACATTCAAAATTATAGCTTGATGTTTTGGGAATACAGATTTTAGCTGTATTGTATATATGGATGCTGCAGCTTACATCTTCAATCCTTTTACTCTCAGGTTTCAACAGTACTGAGACAAACATCCGAACTCCTGATGGGAAGGTTTGGAAGGAGGAGGAGTTTCACAACCTCAGCAGAGAAATATACAAAGACCTGTCACGGCAGTTTGCTGGTAAGCACGTGACACAACTCTTCTCATTGCTATCATTCCTTATTTGTAGCACTTTCTGTTTCGATCAGTCTGAACTCTGGCCATCATCTGCAAGGAAGACAGTTTACAGTTTAATCAGGGAAAATCCATTTTGATCGGCTGCTCAAATAAATTCTACATTAAGGAAAACACAGAGTTGTATTTATTTGTCAGAAGCGCAAACAAATATTGTATCGGCTGTTTTCCCATAGAGGAGTTAAGTTTGCCAAATGTTGCATAAATAAACATGATTTATACTCATAGTCTTTGGTTTATCAGAATAGTTTTTGACTCCAGTCTTTTCTTTAAATTTTTATTTAGAAAAAGAATTTAATTAAGAAATGTTTGTCAGTAGCCATGTTTCCATCCAATTGTCATGCGAATTTTGTTGCAAAAAAGAAAAACAAAAAAGTAAATGCGAAATAGGTTTGTTTCTATCAGCTGGTTTGAAGCGAATAAACCAGGCTACGGCAAGCGTAGTTACGTCAGTAGTTGAAGTTACACATGGCTGTAATAAACAAGACATATGGGTTCCAGAAACCAGAAACAAAACCAGTCGCATGGAACTGAGGGTCATTGATCTTAAAAAAATGGAGAGAGGTCCTCAGAAATGTGTTTCAAGCGGACATGGGAATATCCGGCAAGACGCTGACAGCGGAAACAGCTAATCAGACGTGAGTTACAAGTTTACCACGTCAGAGCTTATTCGGCAAAAGTGTTTCCATCTCCCATTTAGCGCATTAACTGTTTTCGGGAAAAAAAGGCAAAAACCACCTTAAGCGAGCGTAAAAACTTTTTTGCGAAATTTAGGATTTTTTTTCCATTACCATCAACCTTTTATAATGCGATACTTCAAAATGCTCATAAAAAACGTTGATGGAAACACCACTTCTTTGTGTTGCTTTGTGGCTCATTCTCTGCATGTGTCTTTCTGTGTACAGAGAGCACCAGATCCAGGCACCAGCAGCAACAGAGAGCAGACAGGTCCAAAGAGAGGAGGCCCCCCAAACCAGTCAGGAAGGTCCACAGAGCTGCCCCTTCCTCTGACCTAAATGCAAAACCAGGTATAATAATCCTCTTTTATGTGAGAGGGCCAACCCACTCTCTGATCTATTTTTAATTAGTGACAGTAGGAAAGCACGTGGAACAGTCTGGCAGCATTTTAGCGTGGGTCAGTGCACACTGTCCCAAACCCAAGAGCCTCAACTGTGTGTGCCGAGTCTGAGTGTGTGTTTTTTCTCTGGCTTTCCTGCTATGGTGTCAGTGCCTTTTTAAGTCAACACCTTTTGTGTTCTTATCTTACCTTTATTCCCTTTATTTCTACATAGATTTTGTTCTGTTAACCTGCATACATGCTGATGTCAGTTCAGTAATGATTTGGCTGCTATCACCTCTTAGTCTTTTGGCCAGTGCTAACTTAATCCATGCAAGTTAAACATAACAAAACAGAAATATCCAAGTATTTTTTTTCACTTGAATCCTAATGAGTTAAAGCCTTAAATGCCTCAAACAGACTGCGGTATTTGGGGTGTTTTTTCCCATCTATTCAGTTGTTTCATAACAGGGGTGTGTGTTTGTGTGTGTTATAGTACATGAACCAGAGACATTGCTGGCTTCTGAGGCTGTGTTAAGACTTTAATCCCTGGAGAAATGTACAGCATGTGTGACATGTAGTTTGTGACCAGCAAGTAGCATACAGCCACCCACATAAAATAATCATGGCCACAAACTGGTGTAACCTGGGGCGTAGCAGACCTCCCTCCCCACTCACATAGATGCTTCCAAAGGCACACATGATTGCTGGCTATCTTCATCTCTCTGCAGAAGCACAAGGAATGGATTTGTTTTATTTATAAAGATGATAATTTGGCATGATTATCCCAATGAATGAGTGAGTCTCATTGCAATAGTTGAAATACACAGTGCAGGACGAAGCTGAAAGCTGACTGTAAAATAGAGTAGGCTATATCTCCTGTATTCTTCTACTTGTGTTTCTCTCAACTTTTGAGTTGACTCTTAAGTCTGGCTGGTCTCTTCTGTTTCGTCCTGGTCCTGGCACAGCACTATAAATAGCCCTCTGAAATCTGTGGCCAGGTTCATTGGCTCATCCGCCCAGTACAAACAGCTGCTCGGTTAGTGGACATACAGCTTCATTACCAGGAACTGCTCTTCGGTAGAAGACAGTCTTTGTGAAATGTGCACTAGAGATTATTCCAAGTAAAGAGACATTGCTGTTTTTGAAATGTAATTTCTCTGTGCTCTGAGCACCACAAATGCAATTCTACTCAAAGTCATTGTATAGGGCTGACTGCAGAATATTGAGCAGCAGAGTAAAAAATATTTATTTACTGGAGGAAAATATACTTTGGGGGGATTTGGGTAAACTGCAGAAACAAAGTTATTTTGTTACACCACCTCTCCCACACAGCAACTTCATAAAAGCCATTTAAATTGGTCTTACTAAAGCAATTGTGTCTTTTCTTTTGTATCCCTGTTCAGTTCTCTTAAGCTGTGTGTGTATCTATGTTCAAGTGAGTCTGTTACAGTGTTGGCATGTCTGCATATGGGTGCTAACACATGCAGTCATGCTTCAAGAGGGCCACATGAACTATACTGAATTGCAGTGCTCTTCACTGGCAGCATCTAAGGTGTTCATTTTCTATTGCACTGCAGTGATAAGTCCTGCATCGTGGCGAGAGGGCCAAAAGCTGGTAAAGATGGTACTTGGTCCAGTTCCCAAGCTGCCCAGGGAAGAGGACAGACCCTATCCAGCTGACGGACCGAGTAGAACAGGTGGGACTTCTATACATGCAACTACTCCGCTGGCTTTTATGTTAGCCCATTTTATGACACCAACAGCTGACCCAGCTTGCCTGTAACACAGCCATCTCTGCTGCAGCCATTTCTTCAATGGTCTTGTTGCACCTCTTAACATTCTGTCATTAACTGGTGTGTCAGGATGTAGAAAGAAGGTAAAAAGGACATAGACAGAAAATATTATTAGCTCTCTACTAGACTTTAAAGAGCCACTCAGAATGTCTCAGCTTGACATCATAAATGTCTTCTCCGCACTATTACTGTAAGTTAAATGGCATATAGGGCAAGACGTAATCACTAAAATGCTTATCTTTTGTCTCATCTTGTTATCGACAGAGTTTATCCATGTAATCGGAAGAGAGTTAGCTAGAGGTTTTGCATGTCTGGGGTCCACATTTAGACAGCAAGACTGACAGCAGAGCCAGTCAAAGAATATTAATAAATAAAGAGTCTTTGGCTGCTGCTGTACACACAAAGCCATTAGACTCTGTCTCGCACTTTCTCATACTCACAGCCTGTCTGCATCCACAGCTCTGTCCTTGCTAGCTGCAGCTGTACTGGGTACCGCTGACCGGAAGGAATAGAGATTGACTGGCTGTTCTAGTTGGGTGCACAATTATACATGGCCTGATTTCCAGAGGTTGCCCCCAGTGCAGGCAACATGTACACTAGGGAGTGGCAGAGTGGGGCAGGGAGATGCAATGAGGCTCACTGTAACCATATTCTGAAAAAAACTGTCTGGATTAGATACTGTAAAATCTAGATTTTCACTTTAGCCCAGATTAGAGTTGCCATGGCAAACCTGCCCCCCAAGCCCCATTTAGAATGTGTATTCTGTCTGGATCTGGTGCTTTAGCTTTGGAATAATTTTTAATCTGCTGCAGTCACTTGTTGGCGTATGAAGTGTTTGTCCTGCTTTGATGAACTGATATTGATCTTAAATAAACATTAAAACAGTTGATGGGATTTTATAGCCTAGTACTAGTAAAAAATGTAAAGACTGGTCACATGTGAAAGCAAATTTGAAATGTTCAGTGTTTCATCAACATAGTTTCCACTGAAGTCTCAGTTTAGCATCGGAGCTACTTAGCAGCATGCCATATGTTAGTGTGTGGGTGTTTGTTTCCGTTATCACGTAACAAACTGTAATATTTTGCCTTTCTGTCCACCAGCTTTCCGGCACCGTTCCAGTTCAGACCCGCGCTCAGAATCAAACCCACGGTCTCGCCCTCGCAGCACAGAAAGGCCTCGTAATGGATTTCAGGGGCAATCCAAAAGCCACTTCACCACCACATCTACTCCCTCGTCTGCAGATCGGGACAAGGCCCCAGTGGGTGTAAGCACGGACCTGTTGTCAGCAGACATCCAGGGGATACTTGATGACCTTCAGCTGGAGTGCAAAGCAGCTGAGAGGGAGGAAAGGAGAGAGGAAAGGGCCCGGCAAAGGTCCCGGGTTGGGAGCAGTGGAAGGAGAGGGAGAGGGGGATCAGGGTCACGGACAAGGAATCCAGTCTCTGTTTGGGGAACTACTATGGCAGCAGATCACTCCTCAAGAGGCTGCCGCAGCGCCAGCCCCACTACACACCGACCAGAGACTGGCAACACAACGGACACAGGCCACAAAAAACGACACTATGATGCAGATACTGTTCGCCAGTACATTTCCAGGCAGAAAGAGGAGAGAAAGCGCCGCCAAGCAGAAGAGAAGAGGGCACAGAGGGAGGAGGCAGAGAAGAGAAACCAGAGATTACAGGAGCTCTACAGGAAGCAAAGAGAAGTAGCTCAAACCGCAGCCCTTCCCAGCGAGGCACCTGTGGCCCCTGTACAAAAGCGCCTACAGGAGACCTACACCAAACTGCTGCTGGAGGAGGCCCAGCTGGGCGAGGAGGCCACACAGACACATCCTACTGTTCCTTGTAATCAAATGGTAATGTACATATACATGAAACATAGTTACTCATTCTAGTCAATATAGGTGACCATGTGAAATTTATTAATAAAATGATCACATATGTAAGACACATATGAATTTTTGACCTGTGTTAATTTGTGTTCTGTCACAGAGACCAATGTACCAGCCCTCAGGAGAGTCGGACAAAGAGAACAAAAGACTAGAGGCACCACAGAGTCCCTCAAGCAGCGACAGGTCTTTGAATGATCAGCCACCTCCTCCGTTATCCAGGTACACACACACACACACACACACGCATAAACCCCCTACACTCAGATTTATTGACACAGATAAACAACAAACAACTCTCGGCACAAAACACATAATCTGGTATCTTGTGGAAATAATATTTGGCCCATATCTAAGGAATCACTTGACTTTACTAAACAGAAACTGTTTGTTCCCAGACAGTTGGTTTTATAAACACCCTTTGCGAGTGTCCCAGAAGCCTCATTGCTCTGCTTTTTAGTACAGGTTTAAAGAAGACCCTATGAATCTAAAACCATATTTCTGTTTTCCATCTGGAGCTCAGTGAATTCAAGCATGGTACTGTGATAAGTCTGTTCGTGAAATTTCCTCACTACTAAATATTCCACGGTCAACTGTTAGTGGTATTATAATAAGTGGAAGGGATTGGGAACAAGAAAATCAGCCTCAGTAGTCAATAGCTACAGACCTCTAAATGTCGTGTGGCCTTTTAGATAAGCTCAAGAACAGTGCATAGAGAGCTTCATGGAATGGGTTTCCATGGCTGAGCAGCTGCATCCAAGACTTACATCACCAAGTGCAATGCAAAGTCTCGGATGCAGTGGTGTAAAGCACGCCGCCACTGGACACCAGAGCAGTGGAGACGTGTTCTTTGGAGTGACCAATCACGCTTCTCTGTCTGGCAATCCGATGAACGAGTCTGTGTTTGGCGGTTGCCAGGAGAACCGTATTTGCCTGACTGCATTGTTCCAAGTGTAAGTTTGGTGGAGGGGGGGATTATGGTTTGGGGTTGGGGGGGATTATGGTTTGGGGTTGTTTTTCAGGGGTTGGGCTTGGCCCCTTAGTTCCAGTGAAAGGAACTGTTGATGCTTCAGCATACAAAGACATTTTGGACGATTTCATGCTTCCAACTTTGTGGAAACAGTTTTGGGATGGCCCCTTCATGTTCTACCATGACTGCGCACAAGTGCACAAAGCAAGGTCCATAAAGACATAGCGAGTTTGGCGCGGACAGCTTTACTGGCCTGCACAGAGTCCTGACTCCAACCTGATAGAACACCTTTCTCATCCAACATGTGTGCCTGACCTCACAAATGCGCTTCTAGAAGAATGGTCAAAAATTCCCATGAACACACTCCTAGACTTTGTAAACAGCCTTGCCAGAAGAGTTATAGCTGTTATAGCTGCAAATGGTGGTCCAACTCCACATTAAACCCTTTGGATTAAGAATGGGATGTCAGTAACTTTCATTTGAGTATAAAGGCAGACGACCCAAAACTTTTGGCAATATCAGTAGGTGGGTAGATTTCTTTTGTCACAGTTTAACAGGTTATATAGTGAAATTGAGTTTGTAACTCCCTTCTGCTGCATAGCAGGGGGGGGGGGGGGGGCTGGGGGTGTGGCAGCTGAAACTTCTATATCTCTTCCCAGAAGGTAGCAGGGTGAACAGGCTGTGGCTGGGGTGGGTACTCTTTAGTATCCTTTGGGCTCTGCGTAGGCGCCTCACCTCACCGTTATCACTGATACTCGGGAGATGGGTACAAATGATCTTCTGAGGAGTTTTAATCATCCGCTGCAGAGCCCTCCGGTCCTGGGCCGTGCACATCCCATTTCAGTTTGTGTTGTTTTCAGTCAGGATGCTTTCTACTGCTCCTCTGTAAAAGCCGACTATATAGTAGATAGTGTATATAGTATATCTTGTCTGTGGACATTCTGGGTATTTACAATCAAAGTTTCTTTCTTTAGCAATTATGATGAATACACTTTACGTATGTTCAGTTTTATCATTGTTTTATTAAAGTCAGCTAATTATGTCTTTTTTAACTCTCCTTCACTCTGTGTTGCTCTCTATTGCAGGAGTGATCTGGATATTGGAGTTGCCTCTTTGCTTCAGCCTGACCGTCTGAGTCCAGCTCGACCTACGACCGGTCCCAGAAGCAGTACGCTAGCCCCTTTTGGTGACCATCTCCTCTCTCGGCTTCTCAGGCTGGAGAGTGCGGTCGCAGCTGGTGACATAAATCACACCCAACGGCCAGCCACATCACCTTCCGACAGGTCGCGGCGCATTGAGGCGCTCAAGGCCACAGCCGCATCCCTCTCCAACCGTATAGAGAGTGAGGCACGGAAGATCGCTGGGGAGGGGATCAACTACGGTACAGCGACTTCAATGGACGTGGATACTATTTTGGCTCCTAGGCCATCTCAGGCTAATCTTGATGATGGATGCTGGGCAGATGGATGCTGGGCAGAAACAGCTTCCACAGAAAATAATGATGTGGCGCTGAGGATCCAGAGGATTTTGACTAGCACAGGTCATAGTTCATATAATGGCACAGCTCTTCCAGGAACAGGCAATCTGCACGCCCTCAGGGGACAGAAAGAAAGGAAGGGTACACACACCAATCCTCAAACAACTTCCCCTGATATAACAGGCACCATTCTTAACCGTTATACACATGAAAGGAGGAAGCTAGTCAATGGCTTGGAAAAGGTAGAAAGAATGGATAAAATGGCACAAAGGAGAGGACATGGATTGATGGAGGACAAGAATCAGACAGATGTCCACGACTCAAGTGGTTCCATCAGTGAGGGTCCTCTTCTGAGTGAAGGGAGTTTTTCTGAGGATGAAGCAAGCCCTTCTCATCCCTTCAACAATCGTGCTCCTAGACCAGTAGATCGCCTGCAGGCAGTGGACTACTGTGCACGTCAAAGACGGGATTACCAGCGGTTGGCAGAGTTCCAGAGGGAGGCGGCGAGGTGCTCCGCCCTCAGCTCACCCTTTACGCAGCATGACGGCAGCAAAGAAGCGTGGGAGGAGCTGAACAAAGGAAGCCCTCTAAGCGTTATCAACATTTTCACAAAGAACCTTCAGGGCCATGCTAAAGGTTAGTTCACATTTGAGTACCTTTCTACTAAGGAAAATATGTCCAGTTTTCTATATCAGACAACTTTATCAGTGTCAGTGGATTCATGAACAGTTAGTTTTAATGTTAATTTTAGTATTTGTGGCCAGTACAGCAAAAAAGAAAGAAAATGGTGAGAATGTTTTTCTTACTTTTGTATGTATGGCTTAACTTCTAATAAAAAATGTAATCATACAGAAAATGTTTGTCATATTACTACAATAGTGGTCATACTAACAACCGGTACAACATACTCACTGTCAATTGAAGGGCAAAGTCATACATATTTCTCCCCTGTCTGTTCTGTCTCTACCTTGTCCTATAGCGGGTGAGAAGTACTCTCCCTCTGCCCATTCTTTGCACTCGGGAAATGGCCCCGTAGACGCCGCAGCCTATGAAGATGACTTTGTGTCATCACATAGCAGCGGAGCCAGTGACCAGTTAAAGAGAGACTCAAATTCACGCAGGTAAGAGAAAACAAGGTGAAAGTTAGTTTTTAAAGTGACCACTGGATGGCAGTCATGTCACACAAATAAAAAGATCATGGAGCCCTTTCAGACAGCAATACCCCTCTATATTATGGAGTACATAGATTTGTTTTTCCTTGAGTAAGGTACAAGGTACAAACACTCAGACAGATTAATGCTGCTGTGTATCCCATGTTAATTAGACATGTTAATTGTTTGTGCCGTTGCACAGATCCTGAATTGTATTAGTAAAATATGTGAAGTGATTCGATCATACGACTTTTCTTCCCTCTCTCTTAGCGTGAACAGTCATTTTGAGGAGCTGATGAGGAGGTCCCCTTATGAGAATAGTACAGGAGGCATCAATTCCCACCATTCATCCTTTCACTCATCTATTCACTCACCGCATCTTTCCTCTCGTTCACCACCTGGCCCCTCACCCTTCTCTAAGCACTCTACCAAAAAAAGAGGTGAGAATTGATAATTCTTTGATATTTCCGTGGTATAACTACAATTTTCAAGATTTTTTAATTGAAAGAGAAATAAAGGAAATTGTCTCTATATGGTCAAATGCTGCAGTTTTGCAATTACAAATCCTTCTACAGCATAATATAATTACTCCATTTCTCTGCAGGCACAGCATCAGACCAGAGTGATGCCACTCTGGTGGAAGAGCAGAGGAGCTCCTGCTCGCCTCCCTCAGAGGTTTTGTCTTCTGACTCCAGGAAGAGGGGCTCAGATAAAAGCTCTGCCAATAGTCAGGCCAAGAGTGTCCACTCTAATGACACTTCAAGGGAAACTTCTCACCACAGGTAATGATCTTTGGCAGACTAGATTAAACGTGTGGGGGGGCGGGGGGTACTTTAAATATTAAATACTTTCCACTGCTGGGTTTCACTGAGTGTTTTATTTTTAGTTAAGAGCATCTCTAAGATATCAAACTGAACAGACTGCGCAGTGGCATCAGTGAGGTGAATGAATGGTGTTCCCACAAGTTTAAGTTAACCCACGCATTCAGTTGTCTCTGGTATTTCCTTCCTTCCTGGTTTTTTGTAACCTTCAGTACAACACTGCTTTGTGGGAAGAGTGGTGGTGCTATTGGCTTACATTGGGATATTCTAATGCTTCCCTGAAAATGGTAGGTTTTATATGTTTCTTTTAGAGGTCGAGGCATGATTGTATTTCTTTATTTCCTGGTGCTTATTTGATTTATCACAAAGGTTTGTAATATATATTGAAACGTTTGTTTTTATGGGATAGGCTGTCTGTTTAAATCTGTTTAAAATCATACTGAAATTAGCCTTTTAAGCCTCATTGTTTCTTTCCCGAAACATTTCTAAGCTATACTAAAATGGAATTTAAAAGTCTCCGTGCACTCAGGGATGAATCGGATCTTTTAAACACTGGGTCATCTCTGTTGTTACAGTTCCAACCATTTAGAAACATCCACTTGGTATATAATGTAAAAACCCAAAGGTTAGTTTATCTTGGCATGACAAATTACTAAACTATGCTTGGAGAGCCCTGGTTGAGGCTGCCAGTCTAAACAGTCTTGTGGGTTGCTGTTCTGTTGAAGCCCTGAGGGTTTAAGCAGCTGTGTAGTGCCCAGCAACAGGAGGAGGCTGCAGTTCGACCCGAGACGGAAAACACTGGTTATTTTGTTTTGGGGGCCTGCAGGGTGCTTGGTCGGGTCAGCCAGCTTCAACACAGCTTGGGCCAGCTGCCAAAGGAAAGGAGAGAGTTTTCTTCCCTTTAATTTCAGTGCCCAGTAGTGCCATTAGAGACCTCTTATGGTCCTCTGAAGCCCAGGTAACAGATTCCTGCCACTCTGTGGAGCCTGTGTGTCTTTATATGATAAAGTCTTAAAGGATTGTGTTTGAGGAAAGGAGGTTGGTTTAGTGTTCATATGCATTCGGATCTGTTTCTGTTCATATGACTAACTGGTTAAACTAAGTGGTTTAGCATTGAGATAATAGTAATATTATTGTATTATGATATATTAATGGAGTCTGATTGTATCCTTAATGAGAAAGTAGAGTGTATCCTGATCGCTTCAGACATTGCCCTTGGCCTCTGATCATCTCTGAGCAGCACAATAAAGCCATTCATAGTATGGGCCTCTCACAGCAGGGTTCAGCTGCCTCAGTTAATTCTAGGACTAGGGGCCCCGTCTTTGTTTATCATTTAGTCAGCCTGCTCCTCTGTTCAAAATGGTCAACTCTGCAAAGCTTGCATCATCCCACTTCCCTGTGTATGATTTTAAAACCCTATTTTAGAATTAGTTTAAGAAAACAATTAAAACAATGTGTTGTACAAAATGTCTTAATATATGGTTTAAAAACATTGTAAATATCCACGATCAACCTGAATGCTTCAAACATATCCACTTTAGAAGTGATGTTTTCTGGGTTCACAGTAGTATTTGATCTTTCATTAACTACTTACCTGACCCCCTTTCTTTCTTTTTCTAAATATATTTCTAGTTTGGGACTTGACAGTAACAATTCTTCAGGAGCCAGACCCAAACAGGCTTCTCCTTCTGGCTCTTCAGACCCTGGTTCTCCTCCAGGAGCACACTCGCCCAGAGAGCCTGTGAGAAGTGGCTCTCTGGGGGCAAATAACGCAAACACCACAGCTCGCAGTGGTAGAGCGGAGACTAAGACCACAGGTAAATAAAACTCATATTAATATAATAAACAACAGATATTGTGTGAAGCAGCACTTTATTAGAAATAAATGGTTAGTTACACTGTGAGGTTTAAGAAATGTGATTACAGCATGTATAGAAAGACTTTCAAGTCATTGTCATTACTTTTCTGTGCCTAGCGGAAGTCACAACTGTTAAGATGAAGACTGAAATCTGACCAAGATGTAAACAGTTCTGGACTCCTTAGGCCTATTTGTGAATCATGTGCCACACTCCACCAACTTCCCCTTTTATTAATCTCTCTCTGCCCTTCCTTTCAGGTGAGCTGCAGTACTCACCTGCTGTCTTGCAGCAGCGTATGGCAGCAGAGCTCCACTACCTGGAGTCCATCGAGGAGTCAGTCCGACAGCTGGGGGACGTGGAGAGGCTGATGGGTGTGTCCATGGCTCAGCAGGAGAGTGCATCATTGGCCCAGATGCTCAAGGTGAAGAAGACTAGATAATGACTCAGAAGTTGTGTATGCTGTGTATTTAGCTGTGTTTACATATCAGAGGTTGTAATATTTAGTTTGTCCTTAAAATTTCATTACACTCGCCTTCCATAATCCCCCTTTTGGCTCATACAACATGGTAATTATTTGACGTTTTTTTATATAGCTTAATATTTTGATGATCGTAAGACAACACATACTACCTCACTAATGTTTGTATTACTACACTGTATTAACCTGCTCCCTGAACTTTGACGCTGCAGGCCAAGCAGCAGAGCCATGAGCGTGACCTGTACGAGTTGAAGATCAAGGCTGAAAGGGAAGCACTGGAGACACAGCTACAGCTGGAAGAAAACAGACAGAGAGTGGCCCGGGTACGACTACACACATGTGCATACACATACAGTTCATCAGTTACTTTACTCTAATCAGCAATATATATGTATGTATTTGTAGACAATAGATTTAATGCTTGCTTCCTTTCGTATTGAGTGCTTTTACTTTTCTGTGCGTTTGATGTCCATACTTGATTTTTGTGCAGGCTCATATAGAACTGCAGGAAAGCTTGGCAGGAACTCAAAAAGAGACTTTGGAGGGCCTCCAGGAGGCAACTACGAAGATGATGAGTCAACAGGCTGAGGCAGCACGGTACACAGTCGACGCTGCCCGACACATCAAGGAGGTTAGCCTTCCCTGCCTTCCTCTCTGCCCGGAAAACAGCCTGTATCTTCATTTTGTAACAAAAGCTGATGGATTGTTGTGTTTCAGTAAATAAATCAGAGGAGGAAATCATAATAGCCAGTGAAAGACTCATAAAAGCAAACATTTGATCTGTATGTTGTGTTTTTGTCTGTCAGATGACAGAAATGGCACGGTCGCAGATAGCAGGAGCTCTGGTGGCACCCCCTGTTCCTGCTGATTCCTCCATGTTGGACCAGCGGGAAGAAGAGCAGAGCTCCTATTCAGAGCAACGACAAGAAAAAATTGACTCTGACAGGTAAACTTAAAACACCTTTTGTGAAAGAGTTTTTGATCATTAACACTGTATACTGTTTTTCACTGTGATTAGATTTTAACGTCCCACTTGTTTTGTGAGTTAAATCTATGGCTGTTTAAATTCTGAATGGACTAAATCGCTTTACTAGTTGGAGTAAAAGAGACCTATTGTCATCAGTTTTGTTTATTATTAAGCATTGTAAGCATTTCTCACTGAGGGATGCATTTAAGTCTGTTCTGCATCCTCTCTTACAGCTTCCAAAGTGAGGTGTCAAGCAGAAGGAACAGGCCAGAGGAAGCCTTGTCTTCACTGAACAGCCTGAGTCACTCTGACTCTCTGACCTTCAGAAGACCCAACCTCAGGTACCAGTCAGGCCTCCCATGTAGCATTACTTTAACTGTTTTCCATTAAATATGGAGAGGAGAAATCTAAAGAGACACTAAATCTGTCCTTTGTCCCTTTCCTCAGTGGAGCAGACTCAAGTAGCCACCGTAGCCCGTCACAAGTCTCCTCAGACCACATAGAGCGGACGAAAAAAGATGCAGTAGAGGGGAAATGGAGGAAGGGTGGAACTGTTGAGAGGACGAACAAGGAAGCAGGCAGCAGCTCCATAGAGGAGGAAGTTCTTACAGCAGCAAATGACTCCCTCTGCAGTGACAGCATCGCCTCCGTAGTGGATGAGAAAGGTATCGGATACTCTCTCTGTTAGGGTGAATGTGAAAAACACAAAGCTTGATATAGCTGAAAAGTGTACAGTGAGCTTATCTTATTTTTCTCCCTCCAGTAGATAGTACATCAGTGGCAACAGAGTACTCTCTCAAGTTTGATGAGTCCATGACAGAGGATGAGATAGAAGAGCGCTCCTTCCGATCTCTGTTGCCATCTGAGGCGCACCGCCGTGGAACTATGTCCCGCCATCATGAAGAATCAGAGGATGATGTAGCCAATCACAACACTACATTGGTTTCAGGGGCACACAATATCTTAAAGGTGAGAGGGCAGTGTAGTCATACAAACATTTACTAACACATATCCTTATGAGTGGTTGACAGAGGAAGGTGGGTGTAACCACTGACCAGCACGATTTGTCCCCTAAAAAGTGTGACTATTTGAGTTCTTTTGTCTGGATGTTACTCTTGCATGTAGTGTGCAGACCTCTTTTGTCCTCTCATACATTACTTACTTACATACTTCTCATTACCTCAGTTAGCGTTTCCTTTTAATATCCTTTCCTTTTAACTTAACTCTTGCTGTGGATCTTTTCTGTTGCCCCAATCTAACCCTAGCCTTTTCACCTTTGTTTTCCTGCAGCCTCAGGATGCAAACATGGCCTTTTCTGGCGGGCAGGACAGCTTTTCCCAGTTCACCATGGACATGGTGCGTCAGTACATGAAGGACGAGGAGGTAAGACTGCAGCACCAGAGCTCTCTGCTGCGTCTTCGCCAGAAAGCCCTCAAAGAGAAGACCAGGACTGAGCTGGCTTGGCTAGAACACCAGAAGAAGAGGCTGAGGGACAAGGGAGAAGATGACAAAATGCCCCCCATCAGGAAGAAGCAGAGGGGCCTTCTGATGAAACTACAGCAGGAACAGGTACGTGGGGGCTAAAACATGATGACATTAAGTGACAAATGAGATTTGGGGTATATTGTGATCTTAACCATTACTAACCAACCAACTTTAACTCCCTCCATACTCATGTTCCCAGGCTGAGATCAAGCGACTTCAGGAGGCCAACAAAGCAGCCAGGAAGGAAAGGCAGCTGTTGCTGAAGCAGCAGGAGGAGATTGAGCGGATGAGAAACACTACGCTCAGACTGAAGGAGCGTCTCAAGTGTGCTGGGGGTGAAGCACCACCTGTAAGTAGTGCAGCAGTCACTAATCATCTTCACTACCTATTATTTAAGGGATTTCATTTCAGTATTGGTTCTACAGAAGTAGAATCTTGACGGATGAAAGAAAGTAAACATACTTAAAATATGCTTTACTAATGCTCGGCCTGTCTGCTTGTCCATTCATCCATCCTCCAGGAGACGGCTGCATCAGAAACCCCTGTGTCTGAGGCAGCCTCCACCAGCATGAGATGTGCTGAGGAGATCCGCAGCCCCTCTCCCTCGCTCTCCATCTCTGGAAGTGAGACTAGCAGCATCATGCAGAAGCTCAAGAAGATGCGCTCTCACATGGATGAGAAGTAAGTGTGTTCTTTTTGCTTAGTGACAATTTGACAAGTGATTTATCGTCATGGTCCCTTTCAGTATTTTTAACGGTGCTCACTGTAGATGTGTCCTGCTGTCTTTTCCCTTGAGGTTTGATCCTTTTTGTAGGAATGCTGATTCTTTTGGCCCCTGAGTCCAGCAGTTTAGAAATATTTTCCTGCTGGATAAGCTCTGTAATTAAGTGGTGCGCTGTGCTGTAGTCTACGGGGTCTTATTCTTTTTCATTCATTCTACCATAGTGTAAAAGTCAGACATCTTCTAATTATATACATAGGGTCTTTACCTTAACTGGCAACTAACTTAATTAAAACTAATCAGTGCATGCCATCTTTTTTTTTTTTCTGTTTTAAAGCGCTCTGGATATGTGAATGTGTGGATGTGAAGATAAGCATGCTCCATGTTGTTCTCCCTCTAAACTAGACATGAATCCACATCCTGCCCCCTTAACTTCGGATTTGTACAACCTACAAGTATCTCGTTGTAGGATCTGTACGAGGTGAACTGCAGATTATATTAAACTGTCTTAAATGTTTGTAACACTATGTAATCTTAATACTGCAACTTTGAAATACAGAGACGTAACTATTTTCAAAATAAGACCAAACAGAGGTTGTGCATTCCATCATTTTTATTACACCCATGACGTCTTGTGTTGACATGTGCTTTGAGTTCCTGTTGGTCCTCCAAGGTTTTAGACTTGGCTAACAGCTTTGGTCAGGTGATTGTAGAGCCTCTTGTGACCGGGTAGCTCCAACAAGTTGGTTTGTTGTTCTGGGGTTTAGGATTTATAACTTGGCTATAAATCACAGGCCAATCTTCCATGCAGTTCAAGCTAGGTCTAGATTTGTTTAAATGTATACTAGCAACACAATTTTGCTTGTGATCCTGTTAATTTTAATACATTATGAAGTTGAAATTCATTCATTCATTAGGTTTAGATCACAGCAAATATAACGATTAAGAAGATCCTAACATAAAACTGTTTACATATTTGTGTCTGGTCATGCATTTAATGGCTTGCTTGCTATTGTCTTTTTTCATAAACTATCAAAGTCTCTTACCTTCCCTCTGTCGTTCTCCATTACCGTGTACTGCTGTTGATCATTGCCAAAGCAAATGTATTCAGCTTGACAAAACACACTAACAAAGTTGTTTTCAATTCATCTAAGGCTGTAACTGTTACCTCGCACTGTAATTTGTTCAAGAATCAGTGTTACTGATTAATATTTTTTAACCCCCTTCATAAACAAGTTTGGCAGTGATCATACCTTCAACCAACCCCCACCCATGATGCCCACATGCTAATTTAAATGTTCCCATTCTCCCAAAACATTTAAAAGTAAACATTTTCTAACAGAAACTTGACAGACTGACACCACATTTGCTCATATCACTCTTGTCTCTCCCTTTTTCTCTACTTGTCTTTTCTCAACATTTCGTGTGTGTGTGTGTGTGTGTGTGTGTGTGTGTGTGTGTGTTTTTCCGTACCCATGTTTGTGTGTGACTCTGTTGACTTGGTCTGTTGCGTGCTTGTGTGTTGTAGACACTGTTCTCCTGTCCACTACTTCTTCTCTGTGTTCACGGCCCACCACTGGGCCTCCCTCAGTGTCTGTCTTCCCAACCTCCACCCTAAATTCCAGCTCTTTATCTACAACCAGTTGGTCAGGTACTGTACAGTGCTCTCTACCTCTTCCCCAGCACCTCCACCTAGCCTTGCCCTCCCCTGGCCCACCCCACCCCACCCCATGGAACATGCTTGTATTCATCCACTGGCACTGGGACCTTGTAGGGTTGGGGCGGTGAATGATGAGTGCTTGGATGTGTTGGTTTGTTTTTTGTATTTCCAAGATTGGATTGGTCAGAGGGAGGGGGGAGTTTGAGTGAAAACTTGAAGAGTGCCCAAGGAAAGCTGCCTGGCTAAAAATAAGCTAACCTTTTGACAACTTAATTTTTATTTCAATAGGATTTTTTTTGCTGTTATTTTGGATTAATCAGTTGGACACTTTCTTGCCATTAGTGTGTATATTAAAGCACAGTGGTTGTAGAGTGATTTTAAACAACAACAAAAAAAACAATGTGGAAACATTGAGAATTTCAGAAGTGAGATAAATTCAGTTTTGTGAAGCTTAAAGGTTATGTTTATTTTAATAGGAGCCTTCCTTGTTAAATGGGAATCTCAGGCTGAACACTGGGATTTCGCTGATTTCTGTGGTGTTTTAACTTGTGACTCTTCCCCTATTTCTTTCATGCGTCTTGAATGAATGCTGTAGCGCATCTCTCTTCATATTGTGGCTGCTGGTTGGTCAGCTCCAGCCAGCTCAGTCATTGATACGAAACGTTTTCAGATGAAACCACACTATGACATGAAAGTGAATGCATTTTGTAGAGAACAGACCGGAGATGGAGTGGTCTATCTCTTTAATGAGCCCAGTAAATCTTAACTAGCCCTCTTTATTAGGTAACTGTTGCATAGGATGAGATAATAAGTACAGATGGCCATTGGCTATAATAGAGTTTGGGAAGGCACTAAAAGAACCCCCAGTCTGGTTCTTCAGTATCTGGCCTGTCATCAGTTTACATTAGGTCAAGAGAAAGGCCTCTAAATTAGATCAAGGCTAAATAATACTGCACTGTAATGGCACCCATAGCTGTGGGAGACCACATTACACAACAGCTATACCTGACTGAACTTTATTTTAGGCTTCTACAGAGAAATGTATGTATAAGACCCAGTGTTAGCGTAAGGATTTTAGAATCACAAATTCTGTTGGCTTTGAAAGACACTGTCACCTTTGCATTTAAGTCTCAATGGCCTCATTGGTCAGGGGAGCACAGGTGTTTGAGGTGTGCGCGACCAATCAGCTTTCAACCTCTGGGTTTCAGTCTGATGCATGAATCTCACATCTTCACTTATATTTTTCCGCCCCACTTTTCTCCTGATTGACATGTCATCACTTCATGCTTGTCTATTTGATGGGTGCTTGTCCACTTCTTTATATGGATGATTATTCCAGGAAAAAAAAAAAGTAAAGCATGTATTTGGGGTGTGTGTGTGTGTGTGTGTTTGCTTCGCTGAGTGTTGAACAGGAGGTTTGAGGTGAGTTTGCGGTGATAACCGGAGATCCAGGGGATTTTGGGTCTGCTTGCTTCTGCGATGTCATGTTTTGAAATTCCTAATGCTAAATGTCTTTGTTCTACTTCTTTTTACTCCCTCATCACTGCCACCTCACCTTATCCCTCACCACCCATCATCTTCCCGTCTCTTCCCACATTTTCCCATTTCTTCACCCTTCTTCTCACAATCATCTTCAATCTCTTCCCTCAACTCTTTCCTCATCTCCATTCTCTTTTTTCCCCATTCGTTCTTACCACCCCCTTCCCCAGGTTCCTCACAAAGCGGGAGCAGCAACTGATGCAAAGGCGTCACCATGCCGAGGAGTTGCTGCAGTGGAAACAGCGGCTGGACCAGGAGGAAGCAGAGGTCCGTAGGATGGAAAAGGAAGCCCTGGCTGTATGGGACAGACAGACACCTCGGGACAAGGACATAGCAGAGAGTCAGAAGAAGGAGGTCGCCTCAATTAGCCCCAGTCACCATCAAAGCTCAGAGCCCAGAACTGACAGTGAGAAAGGTGAAGCAACAGGATCCTTTAAGCCAGCTTTATAGTCAAAACCAATACGGAAGCAGAGTGAAATATTTGACGCATCTTACAGTTTAGGAATAAGGTTAAAAATGAATCTGGACAAACAAAGGTGACTTCATGTTTATCTGTTGTACATGTTTCAGAGTATGTCAGTGAGGGTGACTGCTCCTTGGTGACACCTGAGTCCAGTATACACACAGAGGGACTGGTGTCCCAGCAGCCAGGAAGCCCATCTTCAGTACAGCCTGTGTCGATCCATGAAACACCTTTGGCCTCCGTCCAGACCATGCCTGCAGATTACACCCAGGAGTTCACATCAGCTTCCCAGTCACCTAGTAGACAAGTACATATAAATGTGTTTTTCTTTCCTTGTTGTAGTTCAGTAATGATACCATCTCTTTGATGGTAGCTGAGTTCATTTTAGCCCCTCCAAAACTGACCTCACAAAAATTCAGTTTATAAGCTGTTTGGGTTATTTGTAGTCTTTTATTGAACTATTGAAAATGCTCTCTTTATATTGTGTAAGAAATCTGCAACCTATTTGTTGGTTTACTGTACATTTAAAATATTAAGTCCATCTGACTGTGTTGTTATATCCTGAAGTAATATTCTTTTCTCTTCCCCTCCTCCTCCTCCTGTTTAGTCTCCCCAGTCTCCATTCAAAGGCAGCCACAGCCCTGCAGCCTTTCCTTCAGACGGCAGCAGCAAAACCAAGATGCCGCTTCGCTCCTCCTCCCGGACCACCAACCAGGCCCACACTCAGCCAAGTGACTCCCCCATGGCCACACAGACTGGTGAGTTACCGAATGACTCAACACACATATACTGAATATGTAACGTTTTTTTGAGTGTATAATAAGTTCCTGGTAGTTCCCAGAGAAGGTAGAACGGGGAAAGTGGAGAGAGTGGACATAATGCAGCTATATTGCTGGCAGTGTGTAGTCAGGCATAATGTGATGCTGCCAGGAATACATTATGCAAGCACTTCCCTGATACCTAACCTGCTTAGCTGTGTGATAGGAGGAGAGAACACTTGCACTTAGTTATCCTACAAGCAAAGACTTTTTTGCTGGCCTGGAACTGTAGCATTTATTTATTCATTGTCAGGGCACTGTTTAAACCTTTAATCCTTGTAATTCTGTTTGTTCATTGCGTGCAAGCCAAAGCAACATGTAGAAAAATTGACGTAATACATTCTTGGTAAAGAAAATGTATACTAATCTCCAAAGACTTAGGTTTGCGTTTGAGCAGCCTCAAAGTTGGATTACCCTTTGCTAATCAGAGGTCTGGCACTGGTCTCACATTCTAACTGTGATTTATCATCTAAATTTGCCTTCAGAACCCATTTCAGACCAGAGTGACATAGAGAGCCGAATCAAGGCCCTGAAGGAAGAACTCAGAAAACGAAAGTTTATGGCCTACCAGCTGAAGAAAGAGCAGAAGAAGAGGCACAAGGAGCGCCTTAAGGCACAGGAGGCCAGCCTATTGAAGCAGCTGGAGGTGTGTGTGTGTGTGTGTGTGTGTCACTCACATTATGTACTGTATGAGATTGTGTACATATTATATATATATATATATATATATATATATACATACACTGTACGCATTTCTTCATACTTTAACCGTTATTTTCCCGTTTTACTTTCAGAGCTATGACAACTTCATCGAGAAAACTAAGGCAGAACTCAACAAGGAGCCTGACTCAACACCTGATACGAAGTCTCAGATAATAGATTCCACCTTGATCGCAGAGCAGTCTAGTATTAAACCACCTGCTGACAGGTACCCAAAACAGCTGTAAACATATCTTATACTGTAATATGAGTTTGAAAAGATTGGTGTTCAATTAAAAACAAATTCCTCTTTCTCAGGTCTGAAACCAGCAAAATCTCTGACTCTGAAAGAACACGGCTTGATGGTTCATTAGATCACAGTGAGTGATTATACTCATCATAACTAGTATATACATTAAGTACAGTATTTATTTAAAATGTGTTTTGACATAGATGTTTTAATAATAATGTGACCCTTTCCTATTATGACAGATGCCCTTCCTCCACCTGATCATAGTAGATCAACATCAGTGCCTGAAGAATTGTCTGATGAAGACCCACCGACAGTCACTCCAACCCCAGTACATGGCAGCCCAGAGTGTCTCACCTCAGGGCAGAGGAGCCACCTGTCCACAGTGGATCTTTTAATACCTTCCTCTAAGGAAGGCCAGGCACAGATGATTGAGCCCGGGGATGAGAACAGTGTGTCTTACCAAAGATCTGACATTCAAGAAGAGCTGGAAGTAGAAGTAAACTCCACGTTAGAGGATCGACATTCTGAACGTCTTCTCAAGCTAGAGAAGGAAGACAGACTTGACTCCCAGGAGAAGTTGTCTACATCCAAACATATTTCCTCTTTCATGAGTGAAGAACATCAATATTCTCCATCTGTTAGCTTAGAACAAGATAAACAAATAAAGCCAAGGGAAACCTCTGAAGCTGAGGAAGCTGTAAAACCCAATATTATTGACTTCTCTTTAAAGAACGGGTCACTTATAAAGGATGTTGAGGTGTCTTCTCCCATAGCTGATGGCTATCATGATGACTTTGAGTCATCAGTAGATTCTTCACCCAGTGAGGAGCATCACAGTTACAAGCCAGCCTCTCAAATCTCAGTTCCTGATGAGATCAAGGGCTCAACAAAGGACTCACCTAGCAGATCCACACCATATGACAGCCAGGATGAGGAGGTAGAAGAGGAAATAGCTGAAGAACCGAGTCACCATTCAGGGATTAGTGGAGATAGCCACCAATCTGGAAGACTGCTAGATCTTCATAACCAAACAGACTCCAAACATGACGAGGACCTTGTTAATTCCAACCACTCACTACCCATCTCTCCTTTGCAGACCCCTCTCTCTCCTGTTGTAGATGAAATGCCAAGCTTTAACATCGGAGATCGGGTTCTTGTCGGTGGTGTCCAGCCTGGCACTCTGAGATTCAAAGGTCCGACCAGCTTTGCTAATGGCTTCTGGGCTGGTGTGGAGTTAGACAAGTCTGAGGGCAGCAACAACGGCACTTATGATGAGGTGGTATACTTTGAGTGTAATGAGAGCCACGGTATCTTTGCTCCTCCAGACAAGATCACACACCTGCCAGACAAGTTTGAGATCTACACAGACACCACGGAGGATGAGGACTCATTCTTTGATGATCTGTCGGGTAAAGGCGGGGATAAACATAAAACAGAGGAGAACAAATCCCAAAAACAAGGAAATATGAAGAGTAAAAATGAACAAACCTCTCGTGAGGTCTATGGGCCTGGAGATAAAACCGTTACGGATGAGTCTGTTTACAAAAACCAGGCCCCACTGAAGGCCGTGTCCCACCTCAATTCACAGCATTACAAAGAATCCAAGCTTCCCATTTCTAATGGCAACATCGGGGACATCATTTTGGATTTTGAAGATGCACCAACCACCCTCCTCATCTCTGACTTGAACAAGAGTAAGATTTCTACCCTTGTTGAGAGAGAAGACGTAGACTCACAACAACAGTTTACTCCTGTGGATCTTTCCACAGGTATCAGAGATGATAAGGATGAACAGAAGGACAAAGACCTACTGGACACATTTGCAGATAAGCTCCTCAACAACTTTTTGAAAGACACTGTGAAGCAGTTTGCTGAGATTAAAAAGGCTAAAGAGCAAAAGATAGAAGCTGCCAATCAGATGAATGGAGTCCCGTTAGGCGAAAATGTTAAAGAAGAATGGTTCTCTTCAGTGGAGCAAAAAGATTACCTACCCTTCTTCCTACCTGCAGAAAAAGAGGAGCTGTCTTCTCCTGAGCTGTGTAACCGACCGGTGAGTGTATATTTCTGATTCTTTAGTAATATGTTAAGAAAAAGTGAAGATAAAGACGTGTTAATTAAAAGGTCACAATCGGTGAGAAAAAACCTTGTGATAGTGATGTACATGATTGAACCGTGGAATCTTTATTGTGGGGAAACATTAGCAATGACAAACAGTACTTGTTGTTCTGACCTGGGGAACCCTCGTTTTTGGTATGTGTTCAGCCAAAGTCCAACTTCATGTTGACAGACTGAATTTGGCACTCCTTGCTGAAAACCTTTTGTGTCAGAAACATCAGTAAGAATACCCTTAAAGGCTAGGTCAAAAGTGTAAAAACATGATTTAAAATAGGACCTGTTCTGTCACGGTGTGGTTTAACAATCATATTTATGGAAGGTTCTAATCTGGAAGAACCAGAAAAGGCTGGAACCAGGCATGAAATTCACATTTTCCTGTATTTCTTTCACAATAGGAGAGTCCAGTGTTGGGGGCCAGCGGTCAAGAGGAGCTTGCCAAGCGACTAGCAGAGCTGGAACTGAGCCGTGAACTGCTGGATGAGCTAGGTGACGATCAGGACTGGTTTGATGAGGACTTTGGCCTCAGCTCCCGCCGAGAACAGCAGAGACTCAAACAAAAACAGATTGAAGAAGAGGCAGGGCTGGGGAGGTCTGGCTCATCAGCTGGAGCAGCCCTGGGGGGGCTGGTTTCATCACCAGGTGGGGAACCGCAAATAAAGACCCCACCTAGACCTGAGCTACCGCTCCCCCTGCCCCCCAAACTACCTGAGCAGCCTGCCATGGTGGTGCCCCACTCGGCCACAGAGGTGGAGAAGATGGTCCACGCTGCCACTCAGGAGATCTGGGAGAGCTGTGGCCTGGGGAAGGAGGGAGCCCCGACCCTTGCACAACTGCCAAACCCCAAACCTTCACAAGAGTACCTGGGTAAAGAGGCCAGCAGCCAGGACCAGGAGGCCCTCTGCATCTGCAGCTACAGAAAGGTGAAAAAGAGAACTTACAAAACAGCAAAAAAGAAGTCTGTATAACAAACACAGACCAACCAAACAGATAGCAAAAAAGTTGCATGTGTATTGTAAAACCACAAAACAAAGAAGAGAAGCATCCATGACATCCTTTTCATGCCCCTACCAACCACGAAGACAGCCTTTAGTCTGAGAGAGTTCGCTGAGGTTAAATGCCAAGCGAGTTCCCGTTATTCAGCAGATTCCTCTTGGAGTAGCATCTTTTAGCTATTTCAGTTGGACTTCGGACTCCCGCTCCAGACATTGCCTCAATTGGTCAGATTATTTACTTTGAATGCAAATACTAGAGCTGTTGAGCAGTAAATATTATTTTGACATGTTATCTCACACATTTACGTTCGCCTAACATGGGATTTCTCAGCCTGAGAGACCTATTTACTATAACATACACATTCATTACACATTCAAGCGCACATATGTGATCACTCTGTTATTCCCTAGGCTGTGTATGACCTGACATGGGAGATGCTTCAGGAGATCTATGCTGAGGACCCAAATGCTGATCAGCCTCAGTGGGTCAGACCACGTCGGGTCAAGTCCTCCTCCTTCCACAGAGTAAAAACACCAGGGGACATCACCAAAGTCCAGGTACAGTTCTGCAGGACAGTCGTCACCAACAGAAAGAGATGCTACATTTATGTGTCTGAAAAGCACCCACCTTAGCTTACTACTAACCATGTGTTTTAATTCTAATTGCCTTACCTTAAAGGGAACTAGGTTTGTAGAATAAATTTGGACCGTCAGCGGTTTGTTTCTTATCTTCCAAAGTGACTGGAAGTGTAAACAGACTTCACAATGTGGCTTTGTTAATTCACTTTGGTAGTTCATTTGAAATGCAGCGTAATACTTTATACACACATGATGATGTGGTTTGTTTTGTTTTTATGTTTTTTACGTTGTGTCACAGGAATTCATCACAGCAGAAGTACTGAAAATGTACGGCCTGACAAAAGATCAGAACCAGAAGACTGACTGGCAAAAGATGCTGAAATTTGGCAAAAAGAAGCGGGACAGAGTCGATCACATACTGGTAGGTCCCAAAATTTTGAGAAAGTTTTCTTTTTTATACACACACACACACACACACACACACACACACACACACACACACACACACACATGATGTTGAAGTGCTGCACTTTCATAGCAGGTGTTAAATTTCTCACCAAGATTAGAACATCTAATATAGTAAGCATTTGTAACCCACTTCATCAAGATCACTATCATGTATTGCTTGCATATTTGTTATTTTACAAGTTAAATATAAGAATATTGCTTTTGTACTTCTCTGTTTAAATTTGAAATTCATGTGCAACCTGATGTGGGAGTTTTCTTTCAAATAATATCAAAACCCTTTAGTTTATTTCCTCTAGATGGCACCAGCAGTTTTATAAAATGGTCATATTTCAAAGTTTTGAGACATGAAGATGTTAAGATTACAGCATTTAATGCTTTATCAATTTATATGAAGTAGACCTTTATCTGGTGGGGAAAAAACAGTATAGTTCCCTCCGATTAGCCCCCTTACATGGTAGTTTTTAGCATAAAACTGAAAGTTGACATTTACATTTTCAGTCATGAAATTCTTCCACTTGACTCAGTTAGTCTCAATAGTTGACCTTGTTTGTTTCCCAGGTTCAGGAACTCCATGAGGAGGAGGCCCAGTGGGTCAACTATGACGAGGACGAGCTGTTTGTTAAGATGCAGCTGGCAGACAGCATCTTTGATGCTTTGCTGAAGGATACTGCAAACGTGCTGACGCTAATCTATGACAAGAGGGCCAAAAGAGACACCCTCTCCTGACAGCTTTCCTGCTTAGATTTTAAACTACAACCTCTATCTCAATCCCAGTCTTTCCTCTCCCCAGCGAACTCCAGCCAACCTACCGCCTCTCGGTCTTCCACCAGCTGATGTGCCAACAGCAACCCTCAGATGCCTTCAGTCCCAGCATTACCTCTCAGCTAAACAACTCCTACTTGTTTCTGTTATAATTCTACACACAAAACGCCTTTTGAGCAATCCAGCCTTCTTAAACCATACCACCATCTAGTCTCAGTGCTCACCTCCTGGACTGGTCCTTTTATAAATGCAAGTTGCAGAATGAGTAGATGTTTTGATAGGATTTGTTTGAATTTAAAGTCCATTGATGCTGCTAATTTGATTGCTCCATATGGGACTGTAATATACAATCTACCTGAAACAAAAGTAGGTTGTTATATTTTGTATTGGATCTTAAAGTAAATATATATATATATGGATTCAAAAATTGTAAAAGAGTAGTAGATAAAGAATATACAGCGCAGTCCATAAGTGGTTTGACAGTGACACACTATTGTGTTGGCTTTGTAATCCAGTACATTGAAATTAAACAAAGACTATGAGGTTAAACATTTAGCTTTGGGTTTTTCATCCATATTGGGTGATCAGTTTTCAGGTCCCTAAACCTGTCGTAAATTAAAGAACTAGCTGAAGCCTATGGCCCACAGTTAGACTGAGGTCAGGTTGCTGTTTGGCCACTGTTAGCTCATCTCATATGTTTACTATAATTTTTGGAAGACTATCTATAGAAAAAAATCCAAGACTGTTTATCCAATATGGATATGAACAAACCCCCTTAAAGCTGTGAGTCAGCAACTTTATAACCATTGTTGAATTTTAAATCCAATGTGCTGAAAGAGAGCTAAAACACATGAAATGAGTCACTGATCAAATGTTGTCACACTGCGCTATATTGAAATGTCACTGAGATCAGATATTGTATGAGATAATTTGCCTCCATAATTATTGTATTTATTGTGTGAAAATATTTGATTAGAGGAGTAAGGAACATTTTGAATTGTAAATGATCTTGTCAAGATATACAGAGCAGATTTTAACATCTAATGAAATCGTAAAAAGCACAAACAGAAATGTGAATGTGAACATGGCAATATATTATGTAGGAGGTTTAAGGAATGCTATTGAAACCAGAAAAAAAGAACAGGGGAGGGGGGTTTAATATTTAGTGTTAGTAATTAATTCAAACTGTTATGTATGTATGAATGAATTGTTGCCACAACTGTTCAGTGTGTCAACACAAGTCCCACTTTCATAGTATGTTAATATTTTGGCGCAGACACTGTGATCTCATACAAACAGCAAAGAAAATGCTTGTCCAATGATTTGCAGTTTATTACTTTATTTTGTGCTGTAACTTTTGAACCCCATTCAACATTGTTTTCCGCTATTTATTTTTTCACAGTTTTTATTATTTTGTGTTAGTGTTTGGGGGAAAAACGTGTCCATCAACGCCATGTTCAAAAATCAAGTAATATTACTATCTCTGCTGGTGTTTTTTTAAGATTTAATTCGGTCAAACACACTACGTACTCAAAACAGACATAATGCAAGTGGGCCAGAAAAGGCCTGACTTGATATTTTTAGAATCGCGTCATAGGGCAGTACTGAAATGCTGGATTTGAGCCTTACTTATCCTACAGTCATTTTACTTTCTATGACCTGAGAGAACACCACTTTCTTTTTCACCTGCCCTGGTAAAGGTTGCTAGCTGAACATTTGCCAAAAAAACATCTAGTTGTGTAGCAGCATGATTACGTGCTCCACTTGCTGCTGTGAAACATTGGCTTCATAGCAATAAGCAAGTTCAGACTAGCCGTCTGAATGTAGCCCAGCGATGTGGAGGTCTTTATCAACATTCAGTTCAAGTGCCTCTTTAAGTTGAGTTTAGGAGTTATAACTCTCAACATCCTTTGGACCTATTTTCTTTGAATGTCTCTTTGAACTGATGATTTTTAAATGGCCGCTCTTCCTTCTAACCGGTTTGCCAATACTTCAGTTTCTGCCTTATCAATCTTTCTGTATTGAAGCAGAGATTAGGAAGTGTTTTTTGTTGTTGTTTTTGTTTTTTAAACCTTCTGTTTTTCCTGTGCCTCTGCCTGAGGAAATGTTTGTAAAGGAATCGCTGACTCACCCGAAATGTCACCTGCTTCTTGTCCACGTCAGCCCTGCCTCTGTGCATATAGACACAGTTGAGTCATTGATAAACTGTATCAGGAACTAGTTTGTGGACACACACACAGTCGCTCCAGCACACAGGCTGCACAGTGGGAGTCATAGAGCTGATGAGGCTGAGCACGTAGGACTGTATCCAAGGGCTTATTTGGGTCCTCACTGTCAGCACCGCTTTGATCCAACAAACTGTACCAAGTCATTGTGGCATGTGTGACAGAGCTAGTTAATGTTCACTGACTGTTTGGAGCTAAAGTGACCTTAAACTGAGTACTTAGTCTTTTTTTCTACCGTCAACGTTTTAAGAGTTGCTAAGGTGTATGTTAAAACTGTAAATCATATAATGTAGAAAAAGACCAAAAACATTTGACACCAGTCTCTCCATGCTGTATGACTTGTATGTCTGGTCTGTAGGCATATGTAACTGTAATGGTGATATGATTAGTACCTTAGAAACACTTTCTGCAAGGCTTTATTGCAACCCCCCTTGGATTGTCCTCTTGAATTGATTGTATGTGGGAGAAAGTTCCCCTTCTGTAACTATGCAGTACTTGGTCTTATGCATTGCTTGTATATGTATCCGGATCACATAGCTTAGACTTCTGCCGTAGTCTGTAGATTTAAAAACACCTTCAAGATGCTTGAAGCTGTTTGGTGTAGGGTGGAGTTGATTGGAACTTGAGTTTAGCACAAAAGATTTGATCATCAGATGAACCCAGTCAGACTAGATTTCCCTTTTCATCTTTTGAAATGTTTATGAATATTTATAATAATGTGCTATGAGTGCGCGTCAGGTGCACTTGGAAGACTTCTTTTATGGGTGTAAATATACTGTTATCCAATCTGAACCACTGTTACTGTAAACCTGAACGATTGTTGTAAAAATGAACACTGTTTACTTTGCAAATATGTGCGTAGTATATATTTGTTAACTAAATGAACTTTGAAATTGTAAATAAAGCTTTCATTGTTTCTAAAGGAATGCTGCCTTGAAATGTGTTCTGGTTTAATTTAGAGGATGTAGTCGTTACCTCACAGTGTTGCTGCAGCGCTGACAGCATCCCAATGAATGTCCTAATGTTTTAGGTGTGTGACCGAAGGCACGTCTCGAGATTTGTATGCTCGTTTCCTCAGAAGTGCAAATCTAGGATGACACTCCTTTAAACGCTAGAGGTTTGAAGCCTGTTACTACTAAAGTGATTGACTGCAGCAGGCCTGTAGCAACCATTGCGGTTTAATGCTTATACAGTGAGGAAAATAAGTATTTGAACACCCTGCTATTTTGCAAGTTCTCCCACTCCGAAATCATGGAGGGGTCTGAAATTGTCATCGTAGGTGCATGTCCACTGTGAGAGACATAATCTAAAAAAAAAAATCCGGAAATCAAAATGTATGATTTTTTAACTATTTATTTGTATGATACAGCTGCAAATAAGTATTTGAACACCTGTCTATCAGCTAGAATTCTGACTCTCAAAGACCTGTTAGTCTGCCTTCAAAATGTCCACCTCCACTGCATTTATTATCCTAAATTAGATGCACCTGTTTGAGGTCGTTAGCTGCATAAAGACACCTGTCCACCCCATACAATCAGTAAGAATCCAACTACTAACATGGCCAAGACCAAAGAGCTGTCCAAATACACTAGAGACAAAATTGTACACCTCCACAAGGCTGGAAAGGGCTACGGGGAAATTGCCAAGCAGCTTGGTGAAAAAAGGTCCACTGTTGGAGCAATCATTAGAAAATGGAAGAAGCTAAACATGACTGTCAGTCTCCCTCGGACTGGGGCTCATGCAAGATCTCACCTCGTGGGGTCTCAATGATCCTAAGAAAGGTGAGAAATCAGCCCAGAACTACACGGGAGGAGCTGGTCAATGACCTGAAAAGAGCCGGGACCACCGTTTCCAAGGTTACTGTTGGTAATACACTAAGACGTCATGGTTTGAAATCACGCATGGCACGGAAGGTTCCCCTGCTTAAACCAGCACATGTCAAGGCCCGTCTTCAGTTTGCCAATGACTATTTGGATGATCCAGAGGAGTCATGGGAGAAAGTCATGTGGTCAGATGAGACCAAAATAGAACTTTTTGGTCATAATTCCACTAACCGTGTTTGGAGGAAGAAGAATGATGAGCACCATCCCAAGAACACCATCCCTACTGTGAAGCATGGGGGTGGTAGCATCATGCTTTGGGGGTGTTTTTCTGCACATGGGACAGGGCGACTGCACTGTATTAAGGAGAGGATGATCGGGGCCATGTATTGCGAGATTTTGGGGAACAACCTCCTTCCCTCAGTTAGAGCATTGGAGATGGGTCGAGGCCGGGTCTTCCAACATGACAATGACCCGAAGCACACAGCCAGGATAACCAAGGAGTGGCTCTGTAAGAAGCATATCAAGGTTCTGGCGTGGCCTAGCCAGTCTCCAGACCTAAACCCAACAGAGAATCTTTGGAGGGAGCTCAAACTCCGTGTTTCTCAGCGACAGCCCAGAAACCTGACTGATCTAGAGAAGATCTGTGTGGAGGAGTGGGCCAAAATCCCTCCTGCAGTGTGTGCAAACCTGGTGGAAAAACTACAGGAAACGACCTCTGTAATTGCAAACAAAGGCTACTGTACCAAATATTAACATTGATTTTCTCAGGTGTTCAAATACTTATTTGCAGCTGTATCATACAAATAGTTAAATCATACATTGTGATTTCTGTTTTTTTTTTTTTTAGATTATGTCTCTCACAGTGGACATGCACCTACGATGACAATTTCAGACCCCTCCATGATTTCTGAGTGGGAGAACTTGCAAAATAGCAGGGTGTTCAAATACTTATTTTCCTCACTGTATGGTTATTCACAAATTTCACAGGTTTGGGTCACAGCTGAAGGAACATACACATCACAGGTTTGATATTTATTAGTTTAAAAATCTTAAAATGTGACTAGACAGAAACTACTAATGAAAACTGTGCAGAGATGAACTTTACAGAATATATTAAGTTGAATGTGTGGACTTTTAAAACAGCATTTAAAAAAAACAACATTTTAAACATTTCTTAGGTGGATGGGTTGTGCTGGAAAGATTTGGACTCATCACCTATAACGTTTAGTATTTTTTTTTTAATCCTGGCGAAGGCCCTGATTCGCAGGTCTTTAAACACAAATACATGGTCCAAGATAAGATTTGTTTACATCGAAAATGAGTCTTAAATTTTGTCAGAAATATCGGATAAGCAATACAATAGCTTATTTTTCATCTAAAAGTCACAATCTTCAATTACTGTAGGTGAATATACCTGTAATTTTTACACATTAAAATGACCAGCTTTTTCTCTTGGGACTTGGAGTGAATGGAGTTAGTTATGATGTCACTGAGATTATTCCTTCAGCTGAAAGAAGACCGTGAGATGCCTTTGAAAACCCCAGAAAGAATATAGAAAGTGGACCTTGAATTGACGTTTATTTATTGATTTATCCATTAAACCCATGGTAAAGGCCAACAAGGAACTTTCACGCTAAAGTCATAGTTTTAAAGTTAAATCTAGATAATATTAATATTCATTATAGGTTATTTCCTGTATGAAAGCCGTGTAGGGGCAAAAATACATCAGTAGGTCACCTCTCTCACGTCACTTTACATCGCCTGATATCAACCATTTCATGTTCATATCAGAGAAAGTTAAAGAGGGACATGGATACCTGTTGAGAGGGTGTGTTGCTTTATTATGAGTGGTGTTTTTCTAAGGCCGTGTAGGAGCTAGACGAGGGGAGGACCCATGAAGCCTGCTGACCGGGAAAAGAGAGGGAGAAAAAGTTGTGAGAAGTTTTCTGACTCGGAGGTGAAAACTCGTTCACACTGACGGTTAGAGGCAGCAGCTTGGACGGGGAAGATGGCGCGGCGCTGCGGCCGTGCCACGTCTCGATTTACCGGAAAACTACAAATATATCCCAGAAAAATAGCAACGTCTGCAGTTTGGTTATGTTTTTGTCTTCTTTTTCCTTCTGCCGCGGAGGCTGGACTGTACTCCTCTTCTGACCAGGTCGTCTTGTTAACTCCGGAGAATGCGGAGTCGGTTTTAATAAACTCAACAGCTGCTATGGTTGTGGAGTTTTATGCTTCATGGTGCGGACACTGTATCGCCTTTTCTCCGGTTTACAAAAACCTGGCTAGAGACATTAAAGGTATGGACCTACAAGTCACGTAGCTTCAGCTCTTTAAAATATCATTAAAGTTTGTAAAGAATTTTCAGTTTTGCACCACTGAGCTTGTTTTGACATAAGCCTGCAAACATTGCACTTATTTAAAATTAATAGTCTAATTAATTTAACATTGACGTGGTGACATATGCCTGTATTTTTATCATCTGCCTGGAAGCAGTGAGAGCACGGAGCTGTTGTTTCTGTCTGTTAATTAGAGCATGTGATCTAATAAATGTGTTTCTATTCTGCTCAGCACTGTGGCTCTCCATCACATCCTCTCCATCCCACTGAGTTTTGTTTCTGTTGCTCATGAGCCAGAAGGAATTTCACACACAGCCATGACAATAAATATAGTTAGGATGATAGTCAAAGTTTCTGATGTTGGCAGGAGGCCTGACACAGTCCTGGCGCTTTCATTCTGGTGTTTCTCTGTCACCCATAGTCAATATTGTGCAGTTCCTCTCTTGGTGTGTTATCAAGTGCCTTGTTTGGGAGTTGGGACTGTCATCCAGCTGATTTTAGGAGGGAAATTTAAGAGAAATTTGGATTACATAAAGGTGATAGCACTACCCATCAGCTTTTAAACCCGCAGACGACATGCAAAGTGACAGTTCAGTTATTTTGTACCAGAATCTGTCTGCACAGGCCCATCAGGGCTGCTAGGTGTGATGAGTTTGTTGCCTTCTTTCACAAATAAATATTAAAGGACAGTTCCTTGGCAGTGTTGACGCACAGCCTTCTCCTGTATTGATATACTAAAGCGCACACATGGCACAAGGACACAGGAACCATCCAGTGTCAGTAGACAGTACACTAAATATTTACTCTCTCTCCCTCTATTTGTTGTCTGTTCTTCAGAGTGGAAGCCAGCTGTGGACCTGGCAGCTATAGACTGTGCTGCAGTGGAGAACAGCAAGGTCTGTGCTGGCTTCAGCATCACAGGGTATCCTACGATAAAGGTATTATACAGTGGATATAAAGTCTTTACACACAGGCCCACATACTGTGTTCGTCCTTCTTTCATGACAGCTGCTGTGTGTGAGAATTCACTTATTTAGTCAGAAAAGCTGAGCACCAGAGGCATATGTGATTTGGTGACGATAAACACATACGCTCCACGGTGTCTACTGAAGCAAGTAATGGAGCAAGTCTTAAGGCAATTTTATATTAATGTTAATTGTTAAGTTTCTAATAATAGTCCAAATAGTAGTCTAAAGGATATTGATCTGGCTCTGTAAAGGACACAGCTGAATTAAGTGTGTAATAAAAAATAAAAATGTTTTTAGTTTTTGTACTTGCAAAGCTAAAATAATAAGTTAATTAACTGATTAGTCAAAAGAGAGAAAATCAACAACAAAAAAAAATGCCCAAAGTTCACCATTTCCAGCTTCTCTAATTTCCTTTTTTAGTCTTTTATGATACTAAACTGAATACTTTTTGGGTTTTGAACAGACAAAACAAGCAATTTGAATATGTCTTCTTGTCAAACTAATTGATAAGGAAAATAACTGCTTGTTGTTTTTTCCCTGATTAAAATAAGAGAGAATCACCCAGGTGCTGTTAAAACAAAACTTGTAATAACTCTTATTCTTTATCTTTCTTTATCTTTTATTCCATGGGTTGAATGAAAGAAAACATTTGAGGCACACCAGACTACACCCACACCCCTTTTCTAGTCTCCTGTTACAGGCTACATTATCTGAACTGATCATAAAATCAGGAATGCTCCCAGTTTAGCTGGGAGCTCCCTTTTTCAACACTGATGCTGCATGTGTTGTTTTTATTAGCATGTTGTATAGAGTGTGCATAGGCATGTGTGGAAAACAAAACACTTATTAGCAGGTATTTAAATAAGTATACATGCACTTGATAAACCAGGGTCTATTTAAGAGCACCCACACTCTTATCTATCCTATCTATTAGTGTGCTTTAGTTGTTAACTAGTGATCATTTCTTGGATTTGGATATCTCTTATACTTCTGTAGCCATTATAAATAACATTGACATTTCTTCAGCAGTTTAAGAGTTTTCTATATTTTAAAAAATGTATATATAATAACCTTTTTTCCGGAGGCATTAGTCACTTAATAACTTCAAAATCTAAAGGATCCACTTTGTAAATGTATTATTCAGTCATGTCAGTAGTGGTATTAAAAATTCAGTGCAATTTTGTCAGCTCGCCTTCTTTTAAAGGGGTTTATTTATAATTTTTTAAACTCTGGACAAGAACGTGACAGATGGGGTTCGATACTGTAGACGCCAAAAAGACAACAGTGTGTTCCCAGTAGACTCAACTTGTGCAGGATCAGCAGACACACTACAGAAATGTGCCAGCTGCAAACATCTGCATTTGTATTTGTAGCATATCTGATTCGTCAGCAGTAGTGTGTGCTTAAGACTCTCAGTCCTGTCTCTCCTCATCCAGCGACGAGCCAACGAGACAAAGAGCTCCTTCTGTTTGAACACACAATGCAGCTTTAACATCTGTGACTCATTTTAACCAGGAAGGATTTAGGGGTCATGGCGGGCAGAGGGGAAAGCTGCCCCCCACCCCACCAAACATTACACAACATCGCTTTGCTTCTCTCATGGTCGTGCGAGCGCAGTCTCATCTGATCTCTCTTTCTCTCCATGTCCTCCGTAACCCCAAACCTTCCTGCCTCTTTCACTTTACAGTTCTTCCACGCTTACTCCACAGCTGAGTCTAACGGACAGGCTTTCACAGGTACTACTACACACACGGTAAAAATGACTTGTCTGTCATAGAGAGCGTGCAGTTTCAACAGGCCTCATGTCAGAGAAAGAATGTGTCATAGTGAATGTATCATAGTGAATCTGATAACACTATGATCCGCATGCAAATTCTTTCTGACAGCTGATATTTTATTTTTGGCTTAGGTCAACTTGTGTACCATTTTGACACGTATGTAATATTGTAGTTACTTTGGTAGTTGTTTATATATGTGCTCAGGTAGTCATTACTGTGTTTTAGGGAATGATAATCCTGTGTGACAACTAACAGCAGTGTATAATGTTCTCTTGCTCTTTGACCTCCAGCTTTCCCCCGTGATGTTCGGGGGCTCCGTCACAAGATCATAGACCGACTAGAAACCCATGAAGAGCCCTGGCCCCCCGCCTGCCCCCCACTGGAACCCACCAGGTATACTCGCATACACACACGCTCAGTTTTAACTGTGGGAATTTAGCTGTTAGATTCTTTTAAGTGATTTTTATCAAGTGACAAATGTAAAGGCTTATCTATCTATCAATCAATCTGTTTATCCACTGATGACAGTGACTTGTAGTTTATTTTGAAGACTATATTTTACGATATGAAAATGTAAATTAATGTCAGTTTATTTCAATTTGTCCTTATTTAACCTGTTGTTACATATAAAATAAGGAGGATTTAATTTAAGTCCAGATTCTTTCCCTGACCTGTCTATCGCACACCGTGTCATGAATTGCTATTTCCTTGTAAACATATAATCACACTATTCTGTGAATTGCAGTTCCATGTTCAGCTACAGTGTTTCTTCTTTCCTTTGTTGCAGTATTGTGCTGTAAAACCCATATTTCCATCCTATTGCATCATTTCATCTGATTTCATCTGTTCTTTATTAGTGACATATTAATTTGACTAACTACCAGGCCAATAAAGCAATTATTTTTCAGTTTATGTCTGTAAGCCTGTGGTCAGAAATACAGAACATGAAGTGGAAACATGCTTCCACTGAGAGGAGTCTTCATTAGGTTATCACCAGTAGGCCATTCTGCTATTCCCACATACTGTTATGCATGCATTCAGATAAAGACACTGCATACATATAGTTGTGTAGGAAGAGGAAGGAAGAAGTCAAGTTTATTTATCTTTTTATCTTTAAAGGGAACGTACCATTGACACTTTCAGAATCTTGAGCAGTTCTCCTTTTTTTCATTTATAAAGAAAATAATAAGTGGATTTGAACCATCAGGCTGTCTTACTTCACAATAGAAATTCCTAATTGCAGCTATTCTTTTCTCAACCAAAAGACCATTTTCAAGTGGAAATAACGTAAATGATAAATGTGTACAGTTTTAGTGTTTATGATTGTGGGTCCTCTTTAGTTAAAAGTAGTCTCGCGCATGGATAAAGGAGATCCAAGGCAACTCAAAAATCTATAAAAAGCCAATCAAAATGAAAGGAAGCCATTTCTGTTTAATTGTAGAATGACACTTTTTTAACATGAAATATGTCCATAAAATTCTGCACTTGTTTAATTCTTCCTTTTAATCTCTATTAGATGAATAGCTGATCCCTTTAAGATTTATTGGTAATGTTTGGAGCTTCTTCAAGGCTTAGCAAAAGTCATATCTGGGATTCCAGTCTTAATGTGTTTCATCTGCTCCTCTCTGTCCAGCCAAGCGGAGATCGATAGCTTCTTTGAGACCAACACCGTTCAACACCTGGCTCTGATCTTTGAGAATGCGAATTCCTACATCGGCAGAGAGGTAACAGCTCATGTTTCCATCAACCTGAGCTGTGTGTTCTTCTCTTCTCAAGAATATTATTAACTAACAAAACTCTGCTATTTGTTAAGGAAATATTATTAACCAGGTTAAGGTGTGATGAAGAAGTATTGGAGACTAATTAAGACTTAACATAGCATGGTTTATTAAGCCCGGCCAGGGAGATTCAGTGCCAGCATAAAACATGTAAATACATCAAATGCCTATACCAAACCTGAAGGATACTTCCTGTCTTGGGATATTTTTTCTTCCTAGATCACCAGAGATACACTAAGTGTCTAGGGTTATAAGGTTAAGGTAGTAAGGTTACTGTTTACCCGTCTATACATACGTGAGGAGTCTCATTATCAACTCAGCTGTGTCAGTCAGTCGACAGGCAGGCAGAGTGGAGAGACAGCGTCTGATCTAGAGATTTGGAGAGTCCCTCGCTGTAACCTTTGGCTTACTTTAGCTAAGCAATTGACCCTGTCGTGACCTGGGGAAACCTGTCATAGTACCCATAAATTATTTCTCCAGTCTTTACAACTTGAACCAGAAAGGAAAATTTGTCAAAATAAGAGGGTGTCATGTTCGGTCGTAAAGAAATCCTTTATCCATGTGGTCTTTGATTTGAAATAATTGGACATCACATATATACATGCCATGTGCTATATAAAGTATATATAGTATAAGTTAAAATGTCGAAATATACCTTTTTTATAACTGTGTGTGTGTACTGTGTTCTCCAGGTAACCCTGGACCTGTTACAGTTTGAGAACGTTGCTGTGCGGAGAGTTCTGAGCACTGAGGAAGTTCTGGTAACCAAACTGGGAGTGACTGAGTTTCCATCCTGCTACCTTTACTATCCTGGAGGCAACTTCACCAGACTCAAAGTGTGAGTATCTGTGTAGTCTCCAGTTTCTACTGCATAACACAGTGTTGAGCATTTTAAAATGATAATATTATCATAGTGACAATGTTTGTCAGCTAGGAAAAAATATGTAAAATTTAAGACTTTCTATTATATTCAAATAGACATAATGTGTAGTGTAGAGATTTATGCCGGTAATAATGATACAAATTTTCTACATTTTTTCAAATGTATATTGTGTCCCTAATGGTAATACTTTTACTGGTTTGTGAAAGCTTTTACATTTGCTTGCACACACACTCCGGTAGGTCTTTCCTTGCTTAAGGAAGTGATGTGTTTAGATTTCAGGCGTCAGTTAATACAAGAACTTGATAGGTAGCATTGAGGTTGTTTTTCAAACAGATCCCTTCTCACTAGCCCGCAAGTCACGAAGTCTACTTCAAGCAGGAGGGTATAAAATAACAGGATCAAAGTTATTTATTTATCATTATATAAGACAAGGTTGTACAACGAAATGAAAGTTTGCAGTCCCTTCATGCCACACACATAGAACTTAACATAATGTAAATTAATAATTACATTTATTATATGATAACATAAAATAAATAATATAGTATAGTACAGTATAGGCCTATACAGTTGTTATATTTATACTGAATTATATAGATATATATGAACAAACACATTATAATTCTGCAGTGCATTTTTTGAATTTATGTCTGAAGAATGTAAACAGTGCTAATAAGATATATGATGATAATATGGTTTTCATCTTCACATAAAAAGTTCTACATTTGGGAAACCGTGTCCATCAACTTTGACACATATTTGAGCACCAAGCGTCATTGATGTAAACACAGAGTCCACCTCCTTTCATCTTGCCAGAGTCTTGCACTCTGTCAGCTCAGAACACAGTTCGCCTGCCAAGTGCTTGATCGGGATGTTGATGGAGCAGGTCTCTGTAAAGGTGCGGGCACAACAGTCTCTGATTTCCTGTTGCTTGGCCAGCCTGAGCCCCATTTCGTCCAGACCGGACATTATCCAGGAGAAGCCTTAAGTCCAGGCTGGGCCAGCATGTCTCCTATCCCGGCTCGCTTTCCTCTCCTCCTGGGACGATCAAAGCACCTGCTGTGGTGCACGGTCCGGTGGATCTGGCTGGGTGGATTAATCCAAACCCAACTAGCTTTGCCGATGACTGTATTTCTGTCATAGGTAATATGTGTTTCAGCAGTGTAGTAGAACAAAATAAATAAATAACAGATGAAAAAAAGAAAAACGTTGCAGCGTTTGAAGAATCTACCGGCTGCAGCATCTGCATGTGCACCAAAACCTAAGCATCTAAACATCACATCACCATGGAGTTGCCTTACCTATTCAACATTTTTGTTTGCATCGTCTTTAATTGATTAATTGCGGGTTATTTTTATTTTAAAGGACTCATTAGACTCCATCTGAGCACTGTGGGGGCATGTACAGACTGTACTTGATTGTTTGACAATCTTGTTGCACCTGTTATGGCACAGAGATTTGCTCCCCATTCATTTCTATGTGGAGCTCTTTCCAACTTCTACCTGAGCAGAGGTCTAATTAGCCACAATAAGAGAATGGCACATGTGTGGGTGTGCAGGACTTTATTGCGTTCTGTGTTTTTAAACGCAACAATAAAAAGGCAGGTTAATGACCGTGTAGCAAAGGGTTCAGCTACGTGCATGCACAAAATAATATTTATTATTATTATAAGTGGCAAAAGAGAACGTGAATTTATACAGTGTTTCACACTAATGAGGGTTACAGAAGAAATGTTTTGTTGTCCACTTCCTTTTCACACTAGTTGGTTTGGGACACTCTATAAAATGAAAAACATACTGTGTAAGTAGATGAAGCCAGATTCTGGTTGAGCTAAATAGTAACCATGGTGTACAGCAGTAACAAGTACCACCTCAACTGCAGATTGTTATTTGTGATGTAGAGGACAGTACACTGTACAATGTTGTTACTGTTCTGCGTGTGTTTCTCCATCCAGCATGGTCTGCAAGCACCAGTCGGCATACAATTGTTTATTGTCTGTCATTAAAAGTACAACAGGCTGCATTTACAAATTCCACACAAAGCTTTGACATATGTCTAAGTAATAGTCAATAATAACAATAATAATGATAATTATTATAATAATAATAATCAATAATTCTCCATCCTTATTAGTACCATTTGAAATACAGCCAAAGAGATGTCAAACACATATTGGGTGGGTGGATGTGATTGAAAGGTGTGAAGCGAACATAATTTTATATATATCTAGATAACATCTTTACATAACAAACTTTTGACGGTGATTTCCATTTAGCTTGATCTGAAAACCGCAAACGGCAAGTTTTTTTACCCTTCGGTTGCTATTGTTCCACACTCGACGACTTGGCTTTCTGCTGAAAACCTTTGTCGTGTGCTCATTATCTGAACCCTATTCATGAGAATACTTTTTAACATCTGGCCTCTTAATGGGATCAGAGCATCAAAATCACTCCCATTATTCACTATCATAAAGCGGCGCTGATCATTCCTCACCCTGCAAATTCATCTGCTGTTTCTGCCTCTTTGTTTGGCTGTTTCAATAACTTGGCATGCAAAGAGGACTCTTTTTAGTTGACAAATGCAAAAAGGAAATGATTTATTGCTGATTTATTTATTCACCCTCCATCTCTCCCCTTCCAACCCCCCTCATCTCCATCACTGTACAGAGGGGAGGTTTTTTAATTTCTTGCATGAAAACAATGCCATTGCTTTTCTGGCTTCACCTGCCAAACAAGCCGCAGCCGCACACAGCGACAGATGGCCTCCCATCATCACTGAATGTCTGATTGATCCTGGGAGAGCAGAGAGCGTGTGTGTGTGTGTGTGTGTGTGAGCGTGCAGGGGCGTTGCACATCCGTCATGCATGTAATGTGTGCTGGTCCCAGGTGAATGCATTCCCTCCCAGCCCACCCTGACGCCTGCCTGCTTGCCGGCCCCGGGGATCGTTGGATAAATGGCTCTCCTTCCACATCTGTACACTCCCACCAGACACGCAGGTGTAATTGAGTCCCGGGCTGGTGTGAGTGAGCGTGGGCCCAGAGTATCCATCCTCCTTATTACCATCCTGTTCCAGTTTTTACGATGCACTCTCTCTCTCTTGCTCTCCCTCTTTCTGTCCTGGACGAGGGGAGAAAACAAATGAGAGGAGGATGTGAGGGGTAGAGAGAGAGAGAGAGAGAGAGATAACATTTATGACTATGGTTTCAGTTGCAGGGTTTTCACATGGCATAATGATCAGCGATCTCTCTCTCAGTTCCATGCTACTCTGGCACCATCTGCTCAGTATTTGAAACGCGTTCCCGTAAGTGTGTAAAATATATAGTCACAAAAAAATACAGGTCGTAAAACATTTTTTATGGCGATGGACTGCTGAAACAAAAGGTTTAAAAAAAAAAAAAAAAGAAATGGTGCATTTGTTTGAGGTTCCTTGCAGGATTAGAGCCATGCCCTTGACACATCGGCTGTACAAACTGGGTTACACATACACTACATGGCCAAAAGTGTGTGGACAGCCAACATTATACATATATATCAACATGAGCATTATTTTGTTTATGTTGAGTTACTGAAGGGTCCCCCTCACGTGTCCTCCTCTCCCTCAGCACAATCGAGGCTCGTACTTTCTACTCTTACGCCCTCCAGAGGCTGCCGGGGGTGGTGCGATCAGGGAAGCCTCCACCGGTTGCCCCAGACGCCCACAACAACCGCAATGAGGAGCCCTGGAGACCCTTCAACAGGTACGAACAACACACTCTGCCCGTCATTCTCTCCTCATTCGTATTATTTGTTGACGTGATGTTTGTGTGCACGCGTGTGTGCGGTTGTGTGCCCAGGTCCAGGGTTTATATGGCAGACCTGGAGTCAACGCTGCACTACTCTCTGCGTGTGGAGGTGGCTGCTCATTCTGTGATCAAAGGAGAAGGCCTTGTTTCTCTCAAGAATTATGTCTCTGTCCTGGCAAAGGTAAAGTTACCAGAGAGAGCACTGCATACACACCCAGGACGGACAAAAGGTATAAATAAAATCATAATTATTGATTAGGGCTCATTCTTTTTGGCTTTTCATTGATAATATTTTGATTTGGTTTTATTGAAATATTTCAATCAGGTGAAATTTTGATAATAAAATCAGTATCTGATTTAAAAAACACTTACCAAACATGCTGTATTTGATTAATTAGTTGTTTAGGACTTTTTATCAGAAACATGTTCCTAGCTGTCCTTGTCAACGGGGTACAGGATTGTTTACTGTAGACTATGGTGATTAGAAAAGACAACACCTTGGGTACATAGGGACAAAAATATCTGTGTGAAAATCTGTTTAATCTGATCTGTTTTTATAAAAATAAATCTGTTGGTCTTTGAGTGGAAATTGGTCAGAAAAAAAAAGATTGCATCCCTCCTTAAGCTCCAAGAGTAAAATGAACATCCACATTCAACAGACATGCAGTTACAGCAGGTCACCGCTAGATGGAGAGTGAGACAGCAGAATGTTTGTTCACACTGTAGATTTGACATTGTTTTGCAGCATTTAACTTCCCTTCATAACATGTTTTTTTTATCACTTTAGAATTGATTAGATCACTTTGCATATTTACCTTATTAATTGTTTTGCCAAACGCACATTAGTTTTTCACCACACGCACACATACTCACATTATTAAAAGCAGAAGAGGATGCCATTGACTAGAGCAGGAGCACAAAGACTCTCTTGGGTATTGTTGACCCTCTTGATCTTGGCTCCCAGGGGGATTGAAGCGTGGCTGCCAACCACTTGCTGCCCACATAGTTTACACAGACACAGCCTGATTACCAGCAAACCTCCCTGGGATACCCCAACCACTGCTCCTCCTCTTCCACCTCCTCCTCTCTCTCCTCATGCTGTATTCCTACAAAGGCATTTCTGTAAATACTTTAATGTGCAGGTCCTCTGTAGTTCACCCCCCCCCCCCCCCTTCTCTATAAAGGATACACATTTCTTTTTATATTCATCTCCAGGGTCTCATGTTCGTTTGATTAATCTGCTTTTATTTACATCTAATAAATAATTTTCTGGCTTTCGGCTGCTTTCTTCCAGCTTTTTCCGTTACTGATCACAAGCTCCCTCGATGCCTCTTTTCCTCCTTCCTCTCTGAAGTGTGCCAACCAGGCAAACATGTTGCGATGATGAGGCCTAACCTGCTAGCCCTGTCCCTATTGGCTACGCACCAGGCTGTCTCACTGACCCAGTCTGCCACCAATCTCTCTGATTATATCTCACTCTCTAGGGAGGCATTGTAGCAAGCTAGCGTGTATGAGGGACGCGCAGGCACTGTGGCCTCCCATTAGCTCCAGTTTGTTTAGTCAATAGCGGCAAGTCCCAGTGGTATTTTTAGCCTGTCCCCCTACCAGGATGGACCAGCCGTTTAGCAGGGCTTTGTGTAGATGGGGAGGCCATCATTGTTGCAGCTGCCCGTGACTTGTGACAGTACTTATTGTTGTTTGACTGAGCGATCTTGTTACAAAGAGGCCGAGTCCTTTCAGAAAGTCAGCTGGTAAGGAACAGTTAATGTAACACAAAACTAGAATTGAAGGAGATTTGGGATGTAAGTGGATGATACTTACAGTACGCTCATGAGCCAGTTGGTTAATTTTGAAAAACAAACATTTAATGATTAAATGTTAAGATATGATGCCGTTCATAGGCTAAATACCAGAAAATGAAATGGATTTTTAGTTTTCTTCTCCTCTACTGCCATGTTTCATCTAAATTTAAATATTCCCTCGTCGTGGTTACCATGCAATATGTAAAGATCTGACACCTGAACTCCCCACGTGAGTCATGTGATTAGATTAGAGTGAAAGTGACTCACGATGTCTTGGTGAGCCACAGTGAGTGTCATCACTTCACGCCAGTGACTGATTTCCTCAATTATGATGCACTTTTTAATTTTAACCAAATGGAATGATTAGTGGAAAGTGTATTTGCATGGGTAATATTGCCAGAATGCATGTGTGTAGGGCTGTAACAAATTGTTATTTTGAAAAATGCCCATTGCAATTTCCTGGAGTCCAACTGGACATCTTCAGATTGCTTTTTTTGACTGACTAACAGTCTTAAACCCAATGACTACTATAATGAAAGACACGAAAAAACAGCTAATACTCACATCTGAGAAGCTGGAACCATCAAATGTTTGGCATGTTTGCTTGAAAATGTCTTCAGAATTACTTGTTCTGTACATCACACACAAAGTCTGTGTGTAAAAGATTATGTGTTCATCTCCCTCATGTATTCATTTCATGTAAATCTCTGTTCTGTCCAAGAATTGTAATTCCATGAATTGTTTGTTTCTTTTTTTATCCACAATCATCCCATCACTGCATCTCCTCATGCATCTCAATCCAAACATGTAAACACAGGGATTGTTTTTTTTATTTATTTTAAATTTTTTTGCACCAGGTCATAATATTACTAGATTTACTGTCTTGTCAGGCTGAAGCCGGATTTATGAATCCTCTACATGTATATGAGGATTAAAAAAGTGGATCTTGGGAAGCATGAGAGCATTACGGCGAGGTTTTTGAGGATTACACCTCTATCCTGCTTTTCTTGAAAGAAGCTCTTCAGCCCAGAGGGGACAAAGGGCCATAGGGAATAAAACAAAGAATTAAGAGGTGGGCTTTGGTCTAAAGGGACATGCTTCTTCTCATGTCAGGGCTCAGGACATAGTCACACATTCACCTGTATTACCAAAGTAGCTCTCTGCTTTTATGAAAACCATCTTTCTATGTAATTATGGATCATATGAGTATTTTAATAAACAATTCTCCAAAAAATAGTTGATTAGTTGGCTGCTTCAGTTGTTTCCCCTCAGTGACAGTATATTGTCACGCACTGTGGCACGTGTGTGCTCTGCCCCCCCCCCCCCCCCCCCCACTTCCCCGGGTGGATTGACGTAAGATTATTACCAAGAGGGGCTTCACCCCTGTCTTCTTGCCCAGTCCCCCCCCATGTTGCAGCCAACAGATGCCTCCCTCTCGGGACCCTCACCACAAGAAGCTTGCGGTTTCTCAAGTGCTGCTGATACTAATCGGATCAGGAATGACATATTGCTGGGGTGAAGGGGATTGTCATGGTCCAACTGTGATGGGGGCAGGAGGGATAAAAGGTTAGAGGAGGGTGTGTGTTTGTGTGTGTCGTCAAGATAGAGAGAACAAATGTAGGATATCTAGTAAAGACAGAGGTTGAGATGATAAAATGTAGAATGTTTACAGTTTGAACAAAATATAAATCCAGTCCAGTTGATGATCAGTAATACCCAATACTGAATAAGGGATTAAATGTTGTTTACAATAGGGTTTGTTGTTCTTGTGTAACTGTGATGCTTGTTGTAGATGCATCATCTAAATCACTATTGCCTACTAATTAACTACTAAACTCACTATGTACTGTAGAAATGTAATGTAGAAAACAGGAACATAAACTTCTTTGCTGTCACATGTTTTACTGCAAGTCTCTTAAATTAAATTTGAACTCACCCACTGAAGGCTGACCGCCTGAAGGCTGTGACTTGACCTGTCTTTCCTTCAAAGCCTGTCACTGTTTTTGGCACATAATTCTTAAACATATCTGTGAAATGTATTTGGCATATTTATTGAGATTGTGCACCATCAATGATCAAGGCCAGAGAGTCGTACAGGGAGGTTAAGAAAAAGAGAAATCAATGTGAAATAAGACCAAATGTGATAAAGCAGAGCAAGATGACACTGACCAATATCTGAGTCCTTACATACTGTTTGTACAAGTAATATGTTGAGCATGGTGAACGTTTTGAGTTTTTAGGTGATGACCCGAACCAGTGAGCTCATGAATAGTGTTGCTTTGGTGACGCTGAGTTAAGCCCATTAGTGGAGAAACACCTGCGTTTTCTCTTCTGGTTAAATTCATATGGCTGTTTAATGAGCTTTTCTGAGTGGCTGGCAACCAGACCCCAGATCCAGATCTAAACCTATTAAATCACTCTCCCAGCAGTGAGCAGCAGGCATCAGAGGCCGTTGTCTGCTGTCATCCCACCTTTAGTTGTGTGTGTGAATGTTTGCTGTTGCAACAATAGAAATTGTTTTCCTTTGCTCATATCTGATAAGTGATTATTTAATGTGCCATGTTGTTGTCACCATTATTGTGTGTGTTTGGTGTTGAAGTGGTGTGTGTCTCTTTCCTTATTTATTTGTAATGACCAAGTATACTTTTGATTGACTGTGATTCTTAGTTATGGGAGGCAGTTGCCTATGTGTTGCTAATCATACCAAACGTTTCAGGGAAAACATGGTGCATGAGTTTCACCTTTAATGGCCCAGTACCAACCAATGTGCTGTTTATAATAAAATAAAATAAAGGTCCTCATGTTGGATGATGCTAGCTCTTTCTGTCCTCAGCTTTCTCTGTTTTTATTTTATTTTGTTATCTAACAGAGTCACCACAACTTTGTAGAAAGCTGTAGTCCCTATGTGCAAACAGTAAAAATAGATGAGTGGTTTTACCACATTAAAAAGGAGCAAAAAGGTAAACAAAAAAAAACTAAAGTAGAGCTGAAACAATTAATCAATAAGTCAATTGACAGAGAATTAATTACCAACTATTTTGATAACCTAATAATACTTTTAGTTATTTATTTAACAAAAAAAAAATCTTTGCTTTATCCAGCTTCTCAAATGTGAAGATTTAATGCTTTTCTTTGCCATATAAATAATAAACTGAATATCTTTGGGTTTTGGACTGTGGGTCTGACCAAAGATGATGACGTCACCATGGGCTCTGGGAAATTATAACATGTTGTTTAAGTCTTGGAAAAAGCTTGATCCCCTCTGCTGTGTCTATTTCTGAGAAACGGGACCATGATCATAAACTATTCCACAAAGGGGCTTACAGTAAGAATAGGAAGCACATTTAGCTCAAATTGATTAAAGCGCTCTACTCTCTCTGTTACTGTCTGAACACTCAAGACATCAGCTGTTCCTATTGTCAGTATAGCATGTGTGAAGACATGTTTGTCCGTGTCTGTCTTGACTCTGTCATCACTGGTCTCAGACACCCATCAGCTGGATTTCCTCTTTCTCTTCACATGTCTACCTCTGCTAGTTACAGTGTCATGTTTCCTCCCAGTTGTGGTTGTTACCATGGTAGTTTGAAAAGATGTAAATACACAGCAGGAGAAAGCACAAGGTAGGCAGTGGCTAAGTGGTTGTTAGTGGCTTAGGAAATGGATCTTAATGAAGGAAGAGGCTTAAGCTCAGCTGTTGTCACATTTAGTAGGTTTCATTAAAGGTGCTGAGAAGGAAAAACACTCAAACCACAACTTTTGTGCAGGATGTAAACCAAGTGCACAACGTTGTTAAGGATGAGTTGGCAACTGATAATCTAGGCATTACATTTCTGCTTGGTACATTGTGTGTAGTAGTAGGACAAAATAATGAATGAATGGTTCATTTCAGACAAAGGAGAGTGTGTGATAAAAGGCCATGAGCTCATGGAAAACAACACAGTCATAAAGCTTTAAAACTATCGATAGAAGATAAAATTACATTACATTTCATCTGCTCCAAAATGAAATGAAATGTTTTGTCTCTTTTGTTTCTTGAAAGTCAAAACCCGTTCACATTGTGCTCTGTTGTTTTATGTCTGCAGCACTTTCCAGGGCGTCCAATGGTGATGAACCTTTTGAAGTCTGTAAACTCTTGGCTGCAGAACCAGACTGGAGAGATTTCCTACGAGGCATTCAGAGAGAAACTAGATAACTCAGCACAGGTGAGTCACGACAGAGCCATATTACCAAATATCCAATAGGTTTTGGTCATATTCATGAAAATTTCAATGCATGTTCTTGTTTGTTCTTGTCAGTCAAGCCAACATTCAAATTATTCTTAGTTCACTTCTGTCTTCCATCTTTGGTATTCATTGGATTCAGAAGTGGAATGTCCATTACATACTGTATGAGGAAGTACACGAATGCAAATTGAGAAAAAGTACAGACCTTTGTTAGCCTGAGCATGCAGGCATCTAAGAGGAAAGGAAGAGTGACCAGACAGATAAGCAGCTGCAGGGAGAACAGAGGGCAGGGCACCACAAAATGCTCCCAGACTGACGTGAGGACGTCTGTCTGGGAGCTGCCTTGTCATTCCACTAGATACCAAGGTCACTTGTCAGTCTGGCCACTTAATCAGTTCAAAACCACCTCAGAGGCACCAAAGTGATGCCTATTCTGTCAAAGAATGGCCAAAATGTGTTGTTGTAAATATAAAATCGCACAGTATGAGTAGATAAAAATACATTTTACAAATACAGTTGTTTCAATATGTGCTTGTCTCTGTGCCACTACATACTGCTGGGGATCTATGTGCTGTTGTCTCTGGAATGAAGCCTGCATGCCTCCAGTATACCGCCCCTCGCAAATTGAAAGAGTCACTTACTTACATCATTAGCTTTTAGAAGGCAAATCAATTGATCAATGAATCAATGGGAAGGTATGAATAGACTTTGCCTCAGAGGAAATGGACTCAGTACACCCCCAAATCTTTACTATTGACATGTGAGTAACCCTGTCAATCACGCGAGCAATGGCAATGCAGTGTGGCGAGAAAAACGACTTTGTGTCAGAGAAAATATGTTATTGGATTCAACTGTGGCTCATGGTTAGAGATTCTGTTCATTAGTGGAGGGCTGAGCCATTAACCTGAGATTGACTTCATATTGATCAAGAAAACTATGTGGCACAGCTTTCATTAAGTTGAACAGGTTGGGAGATGCCGGAGAGGCTCTACTTTTTAGAGAATCTCTGGAATTTAGTCTCATATAAAGAAGGCTGGAGTTATTCTATATTTTTCTTATTGTCAAAAGATTACCATGAAAAGACCAAAACCATGAATGTGTTAGTCAGTCTCTCAATACTTTCCTACTTCCCTACTCTGTCTGTGGCACTTAGACACAAGCCCATTCAGTCTGACTGAAAATGTAATAAAAATAGGTCAATATATCTAAAAGCAAACATTCCACTAACAAGATTGAAAAATTCATTTGTTGGGGACTATTTTAATCTGTAAATGTTTTGCAGTGATTCTCAATTATCCAAAATATATATACACATATTGACACATGTTGAGTCAGAACACCTGAACAGCATGTGTTCAATCAGTTTCAGAGTGTGTGAAAATTAGCAGAGAAGTATAAACAGTTAGCTAGAAGTAATGAATAAATGGATCAAATAGTTAACTAGCTAAATGTAATTGATATACAGTTGAATTAGCTAAAAGTAACAGAGAAGAGGTTGAAATAGTTAGCCAAAGTAACTGATGAATAGTTGAAATAATTATGTAAGTAATGATGGTTGAAATAGCTTCTGACACTAGTAGTATAAATGCAAACTTTACCAAACCAGCCTAAACACTGATAGTACATACATATAACTGTATGAAAAGAATATTGTAACAAGATCCACTTTTATGTAGTTAACAGAGTTGGATAACATACAATTTTAAATGGTGAGTGGTGTAGATGAAAGGCTACTTAATTTCATCTGACAGGGCTGTGGGGTATGTCTGGAAAAAAATCATTGTACGTTAAGAGAGTTATTTATAGGAGCAGGATGGTGTGCAATTGATTTCAAAATAAACTACGATTTTCATGTTTATCATAATGTAAGAACATGTAAATACAACTGTGTTTTTTAAATAGTTTTTCGTCTGTAATGGAGACCTGTAACACAAAGGAATAAGCTGTGTCACACTTTGGTCACACTGACAATACTTGGAATCAATTCATTGTTGGTTTTGGCCTTAGAAAATCACCAAGTGCATCCTTTAAGCTTTTTTCTTTGTTTCACTCTTCCCATTTGTCTGTAATTTCTGTTTGTCTGTCTGTTTTTCTTCCTTTCTCTCAGTCTCCAGACACTGCTTTGCCTGAAGGAGTGAGGTGGGTGGGCTGTCAGGGTTCAGAACCCCACCTGAGACGTTACCCTTGCGGGATGTGGATTCTCTTCCATGTTCTCACCGTCCAGGCCAAGAGCTCTGCAGGCACAGGTACGCACGCAAACACACACACACACACACACACACACACACACACACACACTCACTCTCACATTCACAATGAGGTTTGCTATGAATGAAGGTTCAGGAAGACAGGGGTGGACTAAGGATGAGGGCTTTGTGAGGCTTTGTAAACAAATTAGCCCAGGAATGTTTGGAGGACTTTTTCTTTTTTTTCATACTGACCAGATTTAACTATTTAACAACACGTAAAGAAAAGACTGAACACACACACAGACACGCTGGATGTCGTGATGACGTTTTGACTAGAATTCTTTGAGGTTTTGTCATTTTGTCACTGCTAAAATTGAGCCTAATTGTAACTGTGTGAAAATGATTATGTTAGATTAGTGGAATGTGAGTGGTTGATAAAACAGGCAGATGACCGGAGGCTCCACTCCTGGCAGGGACATTAATCTCCCTTCAACTCGCACACAAACACACACACACACACTCAGAGGTTAATCCCGAGGTTTACGGACCATCATGTGACCTGCAGATGGACTGGCCAAAAGGAACGTCCATCTGGCCCCCCACAGGCCACCAGCTTAATGGATGGATACACACACACATACCGTACAGTGTTGACGGTAACAAACTCCATTCATACATATCCACACGCTGTGTGGATTATTAAAGGTGTGAACACAAGCCTAACACATCCTTATTTTCATAAAGAGCACATACACACACACTCCCAGACACGTTCCCACTGTCGGTCCGGTTCATCTGAAGGTCCTGCTAAGCCGAGAACAAAAGCTAATAGCTACAGAAAAATATGTTTGTGGACTGTTGAAATCCTGAGACAACAGCCTGGCCACCATTCACACAGAGGGTTAACTGTATTTAATCTCCAGATTGGGTTATCCCATTCGCATAGATTATTCATCTCAATGTGGGGTTAACCCAGCTCCCTGTGTCTCTCGGCCCACATAACCGTGGGAATCCAGGGGGCTGTGAACCCACCTGCCATTAGCAAGCTTACAGGCTACAGCACAGGTTAACAGTACATTTTAAAGTATAGAGACAAGCAGCTTCACAAGGACAGGTGGTTGTGCTTTACATAGGAGGTAATGACTGATTTCTACTTGTTGAAAGGAGGGAATCTATGGGAGTTCGCATTCACACATACACTTATGAACCTCCTGTTTAAAGTAACAAAATCAGGAAAAAGAAAAAAGTCTGTGTTTGATCTTATATGTAATATGTTGTGATATTGTTTTTACTGAGACTTACACAGCTCAATACCGGTGCTCAGCATTAACTGACCTCCTTTCATTCCCCTCCAGATCCCCCTCCAGAACCCCAGGAGGTGCTGGGTGCAATGAGAAGCTATGTCCGCAGCTTCTTTGGCTGCAGGTACTGTGCTGAGCACTTTGAGAACATGGCAAAGGAGAGTCTGATGGAGGTGAACACATTGACGTCAGCGGTCCTGTGGCTTTGGTCCAGACACAATCGCGTCAACAACAGGCTGGCAGGTAGGAGCCAATGTGATCATGTGTAACTTGTTTGGAGAATCTCTTTGGTGCAAACTAGAGGTGATTCTCCTTTCTAATATTTCATTTACAGCTGTGGTACACTTTTAACAGCTGTTATAGCACCTTCAGCGCCCAAAATGTGAAGAAACTATGTTGGTGAGGTATAAATATGAGAGGGATTTAATTCAAGTCCTTCATAAAGGATTGGATCGCTCTAAAGTGGGTGTGGCTTAGCGAATATGAAGGTGTAGTGAGATATGGAGCTGCTTTTTGCTACAAAGAGGATGTGGCTACTCTGTCAATAGACAGATGAGATGTGATAATAGACCTTAACACACATGCCTTCAAATGAGGTTAACTAATATGAAGTTTTTGAAGCTTTTGTAAAAATAAAACAAAAAAAACATAAACACCATGAAGCAAATTATCAGATTTCCTGTGACAGTAAAGTTCAGCTTCAGCTTGTCAAACATGAGGATTTGTTGCTTTTCACATAATGTAGTCATGTAGACATTTTATATCTCTGTTTTGGACTGTTGGTAAGACAAGATAAGCTATTTTAAGTTACCTTGATTTCTGGGAAAATGGGCATTTTTCACTATTCTCTGACATTTTATAGACAAAACAACAAGATTGATTAACCGAGAAGACAATTGGCAAAGGTCAAAGAGGTTTACTTGCTACACCGTTAACTCTACAGGAGATACTGTATGGATAATGGATATATTAAGTCCATTCATTGTAAGTCCATGTTAAACACCATAGTGAGCTATCTCTGTCCCTCCCACTTTTTCCATCACATCCTTTCCCCATTCGTCACTCTTCTGTGTCTACCCAGCCACACTTTGAGATCTTAAGCATTGCCGTACTTAGTTTTCGGGGGAAAGGTTTTCAGTTCCAGTTCCCTCTCGTGGTCAGTTGGTCTTTGTAATACGACTAAGAGGGTGAGAGGGGAGGATGAAGGATGGATCCTCAGATCAGACACCAGCTGTCACCCCGTCTTAGTCCTACAAGTATCATCTGCTTCTGCCTCACCCCACCCCCACCCCCCACCACCACCACCACCACCACCACCACCACCACCATCTTCCATCCATCCATCACACCTTACTTTGATTGTCTCCCGCTCTCCACAATGACCAGTCATCAACCGTTTCTTATTCATATCGCCTTTAGACTTCTTTCCGCAAATCCTGCACTTGTACCTCAGAGACCTGTACCTGCAAAGCTGCACAGCTATTTCTGTCCAGATCATCCTTTTAAAGCACAATTACTTAATTATTCACTTTTAGTAGATCATACACTGATCAGAATGTACTTTTCATTTCATTTTTTGTTTCTCTTCTAATGCTCCTGTCTTTTCTTGCTCTGTATATAAATGTAGAAAGTTTTCATACTTTTTTGTCCATGCTGTATCAGCATATTACACGTCTGCACGTTAGTCTCGAGAGTATTAAACAGCTCCTAAGCGTCCCTCCTCCCTTTTCTGTGTTCATATGATTTTATTAGGCACGGGGCTGTCATTAACAGCCCACTTTGTTAAATCACTATCTTTTGTTTGTGTTGACTGCCCCCTCTTCTATCTCAGGGACAGCTTGTGTCCTGAACAGCAGGGGCCAAAAGGATACCCGTCCCCGCATGTGTCTGCTCCCCAGACACCCCGCCACCTTCATCCATCCGTCTTCCCTCTCTTCCTCTTTTCCTATGTCTTTCTCTCTTTCCACTCATCATCCCCTGGGACTCATATCCTCCGCTTGACAAGTAATAGCACAGCATCCTTGCAGGATGGTCCCCCAGGAACCAGCCCTCTTTGCCCACACACAAACACACACACAATTCCCAAGGTATTGTGTGACAGCAGGTGGCAAACACCATAACACAAGCCACTCCCCTTTTTACCCACACAACACACACACGGCCTTTCCAAGCATGGGTCAAGTTGTGGCGTGTGGCAGGGGGAGTTAGTCATGGTGGAGGGTGAGTCGAGGTCCACAGGGGATGTCGGGTGAATCAGAAGGAGGGAGAGGGAGGAGTCGAGGGTTGGGCTGTGTTTGTAGCAATGAGTGGCGGCTGTCTCCCTGAGGAGAGCGCACTCCATCCCTCCATCCACTCATCCCCTCCTCTCCCCTTTGCCTAAAGTGGAGCTCTGTAGCAGGCCTCCCCGCCCCTCCTTTCAGGAGCAACCATGCATGAAAGAGCAGCTATTTGTAAAGCGACTGAACAATTAATTTAGCTGGCAACAAAGAGGCCCCAGGGCCCTCGGCCTCCTCGCAGCAGCAGAATTAAGACCGGTGGCAGCTCAGTCCTGTTGCTGCTTGTCAACAGGCTAAGACTGATTCACATTTCTACAGACAAAACAGCTGCTGCTGCTGCAGCAGCCTGGCTGCCTTGAGGACTGTGTGTTCACACGCAGCATTGCTCAGGGTTAGATACTGATATAGGGGTAGATGAGAATTTTTGTGATGATATTCTTGAAGATATTACAAAATAACACCTTTTTACTTTTTAACCTATAATGAAAAACAACTGGTCAATTAATAATTAATAGTTGTGTAGTTTAGTTGTTAAGGCCTAACAGTTGTTGCCTCTTCTGACTGTCTTCCGAGACCACTTGAGATGGTAAAATAAATGTCTGTGCACCATTCAGATTTTTGTTTGGGGAGCTTTGGGACTTCTCCTTTTCCTTTTGTATGCTGTTTTTGATCTACACCTTTACCCAATTGGGGTTGGATGTGCACTCTATCCCCCTTCTTCGCTTTGAATAAATTACCTTTTGCACATTAAAATAATAAGTAACAACAAGGTAGAAGGTAGAATTATATATTTATTTTATATATCAATGTTTGACTTGTGTGATTTTTATTGATATGATATAGGTATTTATTGTGTTGGTTTGTTGGTAGTATGATACCCCCTAGTGATCTGGACTCAAGCAGCTTTGCTATAATTTCATCTAGAACCACAATGGCAATGAGTGTTTGAGTTTATTGTGTCAAGCCTGAAATGTTTCTTGTGTGAGATTTAATGTCTTCTCATAATGTCAAATAAATTTAAGTAAACTAAACATTCAATTCCAGTTTCCAGTACTTGTCAGCTTTAGATTATATGGAAATATACTCCAGACACATTTGAGTCAGTATCACTGAATGTATTGAGGGTCGATACCCAGCCCAAGTGTTGGACCTGTCATATAAAAAACACAATTCCTGGTTTAGGTTTTGTCTTGATTATTTAAATGTGCATAAAATGTATGACATCATCCGCGGCCATGACGGCTCAGTATGCCACACGGTGCAGGTGATCCTCACTTATAGAATTAGTGCTGAGGAAGCTAGTTTTGACGTGCTGAACAATACATATTTATACCTCATGAATATGTATGCGCGGTGGTGATGACATCTCTTTGACAGGCCATTGTGGCAATCTCAGTATGGCTGGTATGGCTAAAGTCACCCTGGCCGCAAACGTGGCAAGCTGATTAGAATAAGGAAAGAGATCTGAGGCATCTGAGGAGTGTGTGCGTTCTCACCTGCTGAAATGTATAAAAACCTGCACACACACCCACATGCTGCAGCCCATCCAGGACACCATAAAATTGATGTATCCTTTATGTAAAGTACTGTATGCAGAGTACATACACACATGCATATGACTGAGATTAATCTTGAGCGGCGGAGAGAAGGAGGAGGGCGCGGGGACGGAGGTGGTGGAGGATGTAAATTGACAGTGCTGTAAAGTGACAGACCTGCTTGCTGCTCTGCTTTTTTTTTCCTCTTTTCACACAAACAAACAAACACACACACATACACACAATGGCTTGTTGCTGACAACAAGCAATTTATTACTAGATGCTGCCCTGTGTGTGTCTTTACGGGCATTTGTGCAGAATGTGTCTATTGTGTATGAGCCTGTGTATTTGTTTGCATGCCCATTCCTCTGCCAGTCTGTTTGCATGGATGCAGTGTGGTGTGTGAGTGACGAGGGGCTTTAGTGAGCAGCGGCTACATAAAAGAAAACATGTTTAAGGAGAAAGTTTTTAATTCATTAGAAGGGCAGCTCCTCCTCTGAGCTTTCTGTTGCTCTTATGTTCAATTTGGAGATTGGACTTTGCTTTCAAAGGGGTGTGAAGGGACGAGACAGGTGCTCCAGAGCACCGAGGTCTGCTGCCTGAAAACTCACTGTGTGTGTGTGTGTGTGTACACGTGTGGGAAAGCTGTCCACTTTGGCCACATGTATTATCTCACCACCCCTCCCACTGGGACATCCCAGAAGCCCATTGATCATTGTTAGACCCTGTCATACACTCTCTGTCACACACACACACACAAATGTCAATCCCTAAATTACATGCACACAAACACAGACAGATGATTTACATATACACACTTAAACACATACGTACACATATGCATATAGGCACTTAGTTTTTATGAGCACTGTGACAAGATCAAATGGGTTCAACACAGATTGCATCCAGTCCTCAAAGCACTTACATCCTCAAGTCAGTGCACCAACAAGGAGAATAAAAGAAACAACAATGGAGGAAGCAGCTGACTCTGCAATTTATGTTGTGGGATTCCTGTATGTGGCAATGAATCTGGGTCCATGCAACGTTTTCTAAACTTGGTTTAAAGTTAGTGAGGTACTTGTGAGTTTGTTACAGTGAGAAAGACATTGACAAAGCTGTAGTAGTGAAAGAAATAGGCCTATTTAGTTAAAGGCCTGCATTCAAAAGTTTATTTTAAAGGAGTACTTAAGTATCACAAGTAAAAGTACTTAATCTACAGAGAAACCTACATAAGACAGTTGTAGATAGCACTATATACAGCATGCAGTGCATTTAGGCTGATTAATGTGTAGCAATGCATCCAATCATCTGAATTAATCAAATGTTTAACAAACTGCAAATTACCAGAAACCCTGTAATACCTCCTATTATGCTGTGTGCTTGATCTGCTTCCAGTACTAAACTGATCAAGTTTTCCAAAACAGTAACGTTACTGCTGCATTTATCTCTTGAGGTGATTTGAGTGAAGACCCCAACTTCCCGAAGATCCAGTGGCCTCCACCAGAAATGTGTTCAGCCTGCCATACGGTGAAGGACAATGGGGAGCACAAGTGGAACAATGAGCAGGTTCTCCCCTTCCTCCTGTCCTTCTTCTCATCCAACAATATCCTCACAGGTACGAAGTTTCATAAATTCAAGGATTTTACCAAACTGCAGAAATGTATTGTTATTGTATTGTTAACAGTCTAGAGCTCAATAAGCCTGAAATATACATCTTTCCTCTTTTAACATATTTTCATAGAGCAGCTTCACATACAGATTAACAATGATTTAGTTGTAGCCCTGGCTAACAATCATAAAGGATGTGTGAAAAACATAGGAACAGTAACGGCAACAAACAAACGAGGAGAAAAAAAGGGAACAGGGTAACAAAGAGCTGAGATAATCCCACTTTGTTCCCCTACCCTCCAGTTCTTTGCATGCAAGTGTGTAAAATGTCAATTCAATTTCATTCTACAACATGCTTAATTTTAGTTTGTCAAATTCTACCAGATCATTTGAAATCTTATCTAGTTGGAAAGTATTAAGTGCAGACTTCACTACCAATGGTGGAGACTACTAATGTCAATAATGTATATTTTGCTGCTGTAAAAAGACTTTCTGAACTTAAGGTTCACCATTGATTCAGATGAATGTAGGATGTAGTAAAGTATGAGTCTAGATTAGAGGTGAACACTAAATAATGCACCTGTGTCTTTGTCTTTTTCGCTCTATCAGACTACCTTGAAGATGAAAAACAGATCCTGGCAAAACAGAGGGAAAAACAAGTTTTAGAGGCTCAGAAACGTGTAGAGAGGAAAGCCAGGGAGGCCTTGGGCTCCATGACACATCTACCACCCACTGTGCAAGATGAGGAGCAAGAGGAGGAGGAGGAGGAGGAAGCAGTTGCAGATGAAGAGGAGGAAGGTGGGGAAGAAGCAGCAGCAGCAGGTGAGATGGAGGGTAAAACGCCTGAGCAGACCCGCCAGGCCAAACCTGTAATGGAGGTGGGCCGAGGCCGGCGGCAGGCCCACAGGAAGCCGAGCATTGTGGGGATGAGGATGCGAGAGCTGCAGGAGGACATCGTGGATCTCGATTCATTTGTTAACGAGCACTACAAGGCCAAGGCGCTGCGGGTGGCTGCCTCCAGCCGGGTCAAACGACGCACCCTGCAGAGGAAGGTGGAGCAGGAGCCCGGGCCTGTGTTTGGGCTCGGCATAGAGCTGGACGCAGGGCTCGGGATGGTGGGCCTGCAGCCTATAGAACCGGACTTTGAGTTGGATGTGGGGCAGCAGAGAAAGCGGCTGCAGAAGCGAGAACTGACAGGCCAGTACTTTGTTGAGGAGGCAGAGTTGAACCACAGGGGACGCTGGATGTCTGTGCTGAGCATAGGATTCTCCAAAGTGGACATCAGCCTGTGTGTCATTCTTTATTCCCTGTCCGCCATGTGTCTTCTGGCCATGTACCTTTTCTTCAAAAACCGCCTCAGGCTACGGCGGGCTAAAGTAGCCCTACCCTGAACCAAAGTGTATCCAAATTTGACCTGAGTAAGCAATGATTAATGTTCATTAGGTTCATGTAGGCTAATGTTGGGGTTAAGGTAAGGGGATGTGTCAAGATTAGTGACATCTTAGGTGGTCCACTTAACTGTTACCTACAGCCGAATGTAGGCGACAGAGTGTTTAACCCTGAATGTCGTGGATGTGTTATGTCTAACTGGAAAGGAGGAGAAGGGGAAATTAGCAGATTACCTTCTAAATTTTTGAAAATCGGGTCCGTAATTCATTTGATCTGGCAGTTTGGGGTTTGTGCCTGAGTTCAGGATAATCAGTTGCGCTTTTATTCAGTTTGACCACTTATGAAGGATGAAACCTAATATGAAATGAATGGATTTTTCAAATATTTGTATGAAGTAAGTGCAACTAATATTGGGGGGTTGTACTAAGTGATTTTTGCTGCTTTACTGACGTCATGGTCATTTGTTTTTAATATCTCACAGTAGGGCAAAGACCTCGTACACTACATCCCTGTGTACTATGACCCAACAAATGAATATCAGTCACAATTTTTATATATTCACAAGTAAAAATATTTGAATCAGTTGAACTTAATATTCAAATAGGTGGTTCTCCGGTGATTTTTTAAAAATTTCTACTGCATCTTAAATTACAGATGATCTGTTTTTTTCCGTCCAAAATCACTGAGAGTTTTGTGTTTGTCAAGTCTTACATTTCTGCATTTCATTTAATAATCAGATGGAAGTCCCAGGCCTACAACAAACTGTAAAAACCCACAAAGCATTTTAAGGGCTGAATACAGTGAGTGGACCAGCAGGTCCACACTAACTTTCACCAGAGAAGGGCAGATCAGCCCTTTGTTCTTCAGCTCCTTTGAGGTGGCTTACTGTACATTACACTCAGCGTTATGTCATGTCTTTTACATCACACTGCTGAGTCCACATAACAGCTACTGTGGTTGTTTGTGAAGTGTTGTAGAGCGACGCATATGTTCACACTGGACAAGGTTTTAGAATAAGCAGGATTTGTTTTTGGCTTGTGTCCACGATGTAAAGCTTTGGCTGGTCATCTCAAAAACACTGTGTTTTTCTGTTTGCTTCTTTGCTTCTGTCTGAATCAATAAAATTATTTTTGATAAGGACTCTTTGCTTTTTTAATACTCTGATCTGTCACTGAAAGCTTTCAATGGTTGGTGTAGGTCTATTTAAAGGTCTATGTTTTTGCCATTTAACAGAAATTTGCAGACAAGTAGTAAACCTTGATGCCAATACGTTTACAGAACCTCCCAGATGTGCAGGTCTGGCAAAAACAAGTTTCTGTTTGTTTTTTTTGTTTTGACCAAGACTCCCAGCACATGAGGCAAGGAGAACCTGGGTGTTGCATGTAAAAATGAGGGGGGTTAAAGCATTCAAGGTTGAAGGAAAAAGCCTGTTGCCATCTGGTGTGCAGCGCAAGCTAAATCCTAACAATTTCATTGGGATTATAGCAAGTGAGTAATCCAGCTTTCCTTTGGGACTGGAGGAGAGAGATTACCCTAAGGATTAGCTCCCTGCAGATAATAAACTTTATTAAAACGCAATCGGCTTTCGTGGGGCTTCTTCCCTCACACACTTGGAGGTATGCTCCATGGGGGGCAGGCAGCAGCTGACCCTCAGGCAGGGTAACATGGGTGAGATGGTCGGGTGAGGTGGATGAAAGAGGACGAGGTTTGGCGTCCGTATTACAAAAAGCCCATCTGAAGGACAACTGATACTTGATCTTGAGCCTTGTGTTTCCTGGAACGTTTGCTTGAATTCCCTTGACTCCTGCCCCTTACCTTCACCCCCAACCTGTCACACATACACACACTGATCTCACCCACTCCATCTCTTCATCCAAGCCACGTTTTCAGCATGAGCAGTATGACAGGTTTTGATGGCGAATTAGTTGAGTTAAGGCAGTCGATTCCTCTAACAACACACACACACGCACACACACACACACAATTGGCTGATTAATAGCCCTACATTAAAGCAGAGGAACATCAAGGCTGAGCAGCTGTGGTTCTGTGACTTAATCAAACTCTCGGATACTTTGAATTAGACCCTCGATGACACATTATGATTGCCAGAATGGATTGAAAAAAGCACAGTTTGTCACCGGGAAGCTTCTGCATGTTATTTATTCCTTTTTCAAACATTATCCAGTATATCATCTGACAAATTTTAATATCAGGGTGGGCTGTGTTTTTTTTTTACTTGGAAAACTGTCAAACTATAAGAGGAATTATGTGTCCTTCTCAAACTTTTTTGTGTTTTGGAACTATTTGTTTTGTTTTTATCTGGCATGTAATGTACTCGCTGCGTGCATTTGTGTTTACCTTAGCTATGGATGAATTTAAAGAATATTGTGAAATGTGTGTAGCACGATTGCTTAAGCCAAATTTTCCCTTGAGGATAAAAAAGTATATCATATCTTAAAGAATTACATCTATTTAAAGTTAAATCAATCACTTGTTTTTTGGTTTAAGTCCTTTTCTCCCACACATCTGATCAGTTAATCAGTTTAAATGTTTACCTGTGTTTGTTATAGGATTGGGGTCAGCGATGCTTCGTGCTGCTCACAGAAGCCCTTTATCAGGCGCCTTGAGCCTCCTTGAGCTGCAAGTATTATACTGGTTCAGACTAATGATGGTTAATGAGGAAGTTGGCAGCAATGGTAATATCTGTCTGCAGCTTTGCCAAGGCTGAGGTGAGCGGTTCACACTGAGGACAGGGGCTTCAAATCTAAATCAAGACACATTCAGAGATATTATCTGTCTGAATACAGAAGCAGTTTTATCAGTTTTAAATTTAATTTGAGGGTCATTGATCAAATGAAACATAGAACAACAGAGAAATTATAGAAGTTAACCATGAAACCATAGCCATTTAGACAGAGTGACAAATTAAAGGAAGAATTTACATAGTGTCTTAGTGAAGTGTTGGGGCCATCTGTCTGCACTTCACGTGAAGGTGCGAGGCTATTCAGCGAGCTAAACTGATTACAAATGAATGAAGATGAAAAACCATAAACAAGAGAACAAAAATCTTGTGAAAATGTGTACGGTAACAATAAACTGTATTTTGCAAAACAGTGAAATTAGTGACATAGTGTAGGGCTGCAACTAACAGATATTTTCATTGTTGATTAATCTGTCGATTATTTTCTTTATTAATCAATAAGTTGTTCAGTTTCTTTAACTACAAACTGCATCTCATCTTACAATATGACAATAAAAATGTCAGAAAATTGTGTCAGTGTTTCCCAAAGCCCAAGATGATGTCCTAAAATGTTTTGTTTTGTCCATCAACCAAAGATATTCAGTTTACTGTCAAAGAGGAGTAAAGAAATCAGGAAATATTCACATTTAAGAAGCTGGAATCAGAGAATTTTTCTTTAAAAAATTACTCAAGCATATTAATCGATTATCAAAATAGTTGACGATAGATAGATAGATTTGACTATTCAATTAATCATTGCAGCTCTAAACTCATACCAGGAAGAAACAAAGCAGTGACAGAACAACATTAATTATATAAAGTACATGAAGTGTATATACAGTATACAGTAATTAATCTAGTGAAAATATACCAAAGTCCTCAAAAGTAGGCTACAAACTCACACTTATTGTAGCCCAAATTTGCATTAGCAACAGATTAGCTTCAGACAGCTAGTATAATCTGTAGCTTGGTTACTGATCGTTGAAACTTTCAACTTCACAAAATAGTGATAATAAAACAAGTTCCTAAATATAGTGCTGCAATAAGGGCGTTTGGGAGTAGATAAAAGAGACAAGTCCTGTGAATATTTACTTGGTCACAGATTTGGCAAAAGACTGGATATTCTTGGTCACTGTGAGACTACCATTTAACCGGCAGAGACTCCAGTAAGTTACTGTTCCCAGACAAGAAATAGTTACACAGTTGTAGGACATATCCATTTTTTTGAACGAATTAAACAAACAAGACATAACGTGTTAATAAATTAGCCTTAGGGGTAGTCTAGAGTACCTTTGAACAGAAATAGACAAGACATTTTCTTCTGCTTCTGATTTTTATGCTAAGCTAAGCTAATCGCCTCCTGGCAGTATAGCTTCATATTTAACAGACAGACACCAGTATGTTAAAAGGGCCAGCACCAGTGTCGGGAAGGTTACCGATTACAAGTCACCATATTTCAAATGTAATAGTAGTGTAACTATTTCTTTGTAACTACTTTGTCAAAGTAAACATTTAATTACTTTTAAATCAATTTTCTACATTTCTAATGGACGTTTTGGTTTCTGTTAACCAATTTCAATAGACAGCTTAAGAGGAAATTTATGTGAGAACCATTTAAAAGCTCCAGAATAGCATCAAACTTTTCTAAACAGCTGTGGCTGGAAATGACAATGGAAACCACTGTGCACATGAAAAACATGCAAAGCAACAAAATGAATACTATTCAACATACAGCCTAGCTTTTTACAGAAAATATTCAGACATAATGTAATCATGAACATTTTCAAAAGTAACTGTACATTTACAATTTTTTTCCAAGTAACTGTAAGTGTACTGTACAAAATGTAACTGTTACAAATGTTACATTTATTTTGCAACTAAATTAATAACTAAATTACATGTAACTACTTACTCTCCAACACTTGGACTATTCCACCTCCCCTCATTGTCAAGCAAGAAACACATGTAACGTTATTTGTCAAATTGTTTAACTATTTCTCAACGGAAAGCAACAGCTTCAGTCTTACAGATTTCTTTGACCTCTACAGGAGAGATGAACATCACGCCCTATAGTTTAGTGTTGTTGTGTATTTTGGATCCCCATTAGCTGTCATCTGAGCAACAAATGTCAAGAACAACATACAAAACCGAACAACTAATAATACATCTCAATTCATTTGCACATCTAGGCTTCTGCAAAGCAGTGATGGACATTTACTTAAATACTGCACTTAGGTACAATTTTGAAGTACTTTTCTCGAGTATTTCCGTTTCTCTTTATAATTCAACTCCCCTATATTTGAAAGGCACATTTTGTATTTTTTGTTTTAAAGCTTTAACTATTGGTAACTTTGCAAATTCAGATTATTAATATAAAATATAATCAACAAATACATTTGGGTATATTATAGGTTATATAGATTAAGTTGTATAAGGTAGTTCATATTAGCTCCACCTTTACCAACTTCAACATTAAAGTGATGCATACATTGATGTCAGTAATTAAAATCCAATAATATAATATTAATCTGAAATGGGTTGTGATTCTCCCTATAGAGAATTTTTTTTACTTTTGGTGCTTTAAATACATTTTGTTGCTAACACTTTTGTACTTGATTTGGAATCTCACTTGATTACTTGTAATTCATATTACTTGTAATCAAGTGAGATTTTGAAATCATTACTTTTACTACTAGTAATAGTACTTCTTCCACTACTGCTACATAGAAAGTCAAAGTGCCCTGTATGGGAGCATCTGCCTTTGATGGGTTTCTCCACTTATTTAGTCACCTAAGATTAAAGGTTTCTGTCTTTGTCTTGTTTGTCTACATTGTTGGTGTTGGAGTTTGCATTCTTAGTTAGTGCTTTTATTACAAGGTCAGGAACAAACTTTGAAGCTCAACTTTTCGGCCAACATGGACAAATAGTTGTTAAAGTGCTTTTGAAAAAAGACAAAAGAAATTTGAACATCTACAGTTTCCGGAAAACTGTTCAAACTCCATCTGCTGATGAGGCTTATGTCATATGGACCAAAAACCTCCAGAACAGGTCGACTAGTTTTTTCAAGTTCATGATCCCCTGTCCAGGTTCAGCATGAGCCATTCTCTCAAGAAGGCTAGATTACTTTTTCGTGCTTATTCACTGCAAAACAAATGTTCTGCACTGAGACATTGTTGTGTTATGAAAGCACAGACTGAAGGGTAAAAACCTCACCGCGCTGCCCTGTTGTTGTCTTCCATAAATTAGACAATGTAGGGTTTTATAGTCGCTCTTCTCCTGTATGCTCTCTGCCTCAATGTTTATTACCCCTCCAGTATTGATATTAAAATGCAGGAGGGGCTTGATGCATTTTTCTGTCATCTCTCTTTCTGACTTTAATAATACTATAAAGCTTCTTGCT